AGTGAAAGTCCTATTTCCTCATTTGTGACATAACCAGAAGGTATCTTGAAGGAAAAAAAGAAGTTCAGAGCGTAACAATATAACCACTGAGAACAGCAAATATAGGAAAAAGCAGAAGTTTTTTTTTAATTAACAGCTGAAGCTAATGTTACCACCTGTGTACAATTAAAACAATATTCCTAAATGTGCAACCATGGTAGGAATTATTCTAACTAGAACAATGTATTTTGTTCTCTTCATATGTGACCTAATGGCAAAAATTAGGGAAATTTCTACCTTTGGAGCCAAATTCGGTTTGGTTATATGGGTAAGTAAAATCCTGAGTAATTTCACTGCTAATAGTGGTGTTAGCTGCATTTATCTGGTGACTGAAACATCAGGGCCAAATGCATGTTAATCACCCCCAGCGTTTGCCTGCCCCATATGCATTTTAATTGATACCCCAGGCACAGTAGTGTGTTCTTACGAAGAAAGAGCAAAGTGAAGGAAGACTTGGGATTTGATCCTGGGAGTCTCTCATTGAATGTAAAGCAAGGAGGACTGAAAATCTGACCCTTGAAGGTATTTAGGTACCTAAGGATGCAATAGGCACCTTGTGGGATATTCAGAAGTGCCTAGGTGCCTAACTACCATTTTATTAAGTAGCAAGTACCTGTGCCTCTAACCAAAGATTGCCTTTCAGAAGGAAAGTGAGAAGCTGGTTTGTGATGTCTTGGGTTTTCAGTGCTGCTTGCTTGATGTTTGTGAGGATAGAGCAGGAAACAAGTTAGTTTTCATCAAGCACTATTTCTTGTGAATTATTTGGTCACAGGTTTATGATTGGGGGGATTTGATAGCTGCTTTCAACTACCTGAAAGGGGGTTCCAAAGAGGATGGCTCTAGACTGTTCTCAATGGTAGCAGATGACAGAACGAGGAGTAATGGTCTCAAGTTGCAGTGGGGGAGGTTTAGATTGGATATTAGGAAAAACTTTTTCACTAAGAGGGTGGTGAAACACTGGAATGCGTTACCTAGGGAGGTGGTAGAATCTCCTTCCTTAGAGGTTTTTAAGGTCAGGCTTGACAAAGCCCTGGCTGGGATGATTTAACTGGGAATTGGTCCTGCTTCAAGCAGGGGGGTTGGACTAGATGACCTTCAGGGGTCCCTTCCAACCCTGATATTCTATGATTCTATGATCTGCTGTAAGGCTTTATTTAAATGTTTTTACAATGATATTGTGTCTGTCTTCTCTCTGAAGTCCCCAGGCCCATCCCAGTCATCACCTAGTTTATTTTCCAATTCCTATTTCTGTGTATGCCAGGGGTGCACAAGTTTTTGGGTGTCTCTTAGAGGGAGCCGAGAAGCCTTGTTGATATCCTAATGAGGGTGAAGTAGTTTGCTCCTCCAGAACTGCTAACCAGAATCCAAGGTAGGGAGTTCTGAGGAAGCTTAGGAGCTACTCTGGAGTGCTGATACTTTTTGGGTTTGTATATTTTAGTTTATTGCTTGTAAAACAGCATAGCAGGAGAACGGCTAGAGGCTATTGCCAACCTTGGGTCAATTTGGGTTTCAGGCCCTCCTGAAATGGCTAGTATGTCAGCAGCATGCCCAGAAAGCAGGCCAACAGCAGTTTCAACAGGCCCAGATAACAGCGCAAGAGCAGTTCCAGAAGCTATTATTTCAGGGGCACATCACCATGGACTAGGTGGCTACTTCAAGCAACAGTTCCAGCTCCACCCTGTCTAGGTCCAGAGGCCCATCTCATCAAGTTTGAGTGAGTGGCTACCATAGCCCAGTGGGTGTCACGACCAGGTCTTGGGTGGTCAATCAGACCTAGTGGTCTGAGTGGGAGTCGGGCCAATTCGGGTACCAGAAGATCAGAGTCTGAGACAGGCCAGAGGGCAAACCAGGAGTCAGGCATCAGCAGGCAGGCAGGGCCAGGTAGTGGGAAGTCCGAGCCTCAGACAGGCCAGAGGGTAAATCAAGAGTCAAGTTTGGGCAGGGCTGCAGGGTCAGAAGTTGGAGTCTGGGATCTCTCATGCTCAGGGTCTGAAGCAAAGCAGACTGAATTGTTGCTCATACAACTAAGTACTAGTGCCAGCCAATCAGTGGGCTGCGAGGAGCTGCCACTCAAGTCCTGCTGCGTGGTACTTCCTGCTGGTCCCAGCTTCACAAGGTCCTCTGGCAGGATTCTAGCATAACCTTCCTGGGGTGATGTGGAGGGGTCAGTGGTCTAACACCCCTTAGGATTCCCACTTCTAGTCCTGCAGGTTCTTACAGGGGGTCACTGAGCCATGGGCCCCCTGAGTGGTGAGACCAATGCTGCCAACAGGGAATATGCCAATGACTGCTGGTATTATTGTTTAGGGCATACCCTGAGAGTTACTGGTACAAATTCCTCTCAGAACTGTGACCTCCCAACACCAGCAAATAGGTCAGTGTCTGAGGTGTGCATCGGGGCAGAATTTTGCCCTTTAATTTTAGGTCTTAATCAAAATCAGGAGTTGTAAGTTTCAAACATTCATCTTTCATGTATTTATTGACTTCCATTTCATTTGAATGATACCAGTAAAAGATCCCAGTTTCATAACCATTTAAAAAGAAAAATCACCTTGCCCTTCCTATAAATCAGTGTAGCAGAAAAACGAATGGTGGCATCACTCACAGAGGCAAGCAGGAATAAAAGTGGTCATTTATAACAGATGTCTCAATTTTTGGATGCCCCACTTGAAAAGTCATAGACTTGATATTCAGAAATGCCAATCACCTGCTGTTCCCGTTGACTCAACTAAAGCTCTGGGTATTTAACACTTCTGGAAGAATCAGGCCGTAGGTATCGTAAGTTGGGTTCACCAGAACTGAAGCATACAAAATCAGAGGCCACTTTTGAGAAGTTGGTCTTAAAGCAATAAACTCTGGGCCAATTCCTACAGGTTGCCTTCTGAAGTCAATGGTCATAAGAGCTTCTTTTAAACATCAGCACAGAGGAAGTCATTGGCAGTACACAAGTTTTACTGGTTGTACATAACTTAGGAACTATGCTCCATGTTCTTGAGCACCATCCACTAGCACTTTGTCTTGTAACTATTTACATATACACAGCCATAGAGCACTCCTGCAACAAATAGAACTACTTGTGTAAATAAGAAAAGCCCATAAATGATCCAGGAGATTTTTTCCTTCAGATTTGCATTATTGTAAAAGTGGCAGATGGTGAGTCAAAGGGAACAACACAAGGAAGGACTCAATGGGGAAAAGATGGTTCTCAGTGGTAGCAGATGACAGAACAAGGAGTAATGGTCTCAAGTTGCAGTGGGGGAGGTTTAGATTGGATATTAGGAAAAACGTTTTCACTAGGAGGTTGGTGAAACACTGGAATGCGTTACCTAGGGAGGTGGTGGACTCTCCTTCCTTAGAAGTTTTTAAGGTCAGGCTTGACAAAGCCCTGGCTGGGATGATTTAGTTGGGGATCGGTCCTGCTTTGAGCAGGGGGTTGGACTAGATGACCTCCTGAGGTCCCTTCCAATCCTGATATTCTATGAAAAGTTCAGGAAAGGAAGGTAGAGAAGAGGGAAATAAAGAAACATCATGAGTCTGCTTCTGCTCCTATTGAAATCAGTGACCAAATTTCTGTTAACTTCATTGGGAGCTGGATCAACACCTTTATATATTTTAGAATCACCTTTGTCTGGCTCGTCCTCGTCTGTCCCTCCACAAACACAAGTTGACGCTACACCATTCTGTTTTGTTGTGAGCACGTTCTTTCCATTTCTAGCCAAAGAGTTTTGTCATGGGATCGGCCAGGCGCGTTTTCGGTCTGCCCCGTGGTCGCTTGTGGTCTCTGGGGATCCAGTCACTGATGCAGGTTGTCCACCTATTGTCTTGCCTGCAGACTACATGACCCGCCCAGCTCCACTTTGCGTCGTACATCACCTGCACTACATCATTCACCTATGTACGCCTTCTGATCTCCTCATTTGGTATGTGATCACAGAGCGATATCTTACACCTTTCCATTGCTCTCTGGGTGACAGCAAATTTTTCTTCCTCTGCTTTCGTTGTTGACCAGCTTTCTGCTCTGTATATCATTCTGGCAGAACAGTGGAGTTAAACAGTGCTTTCCTTTTCTTCATGGGCAGTTCATCATCCGTTAGAGACGTCTTTATTTTGTTGAAACTTGCCCACCCTGCCTTTCACCTCCTACAGCATTCCCCTTCGAATGAGTTGTCTCTGCTCAGCTGCTGACCCAGGTAAATATATTTTTCAACCTCCTCGACTTCTTTCCCGTTTACAGTGATGATTCCTTCTGCACAATGCTCATTCTGCATCCACTTTGTCTTCGACGTGTTCACTTCCAACCCAATATCATGCGAAAGTGTTTGCAGTTGCTACAGTTTGTTCTCTTTTAGAATACTAATTTGAAAAATCCTCTCATTACTAATGTTAATCTATTTGTATTTTTTATCTATTTCTATACTGGCATTGGAAGTTTGCCTGGTTTTATAAGTTTTCTGCAGAATTGAATCGTGAAACAGGATCACGTGTTGGGTAAATATCTTTTCAGAACAGTGTAAAAACTGGATGGGTTCTGAAGTCTTGATAACTGTCCTTAAATATAGATACATCAGTGTGCACACAACTCTAGCTGGAATTATCCCAGGTAAAATATTCAGTTGTTGGCAGCTATAATGTGCAAACTGATTAACTTGCTTTTGAGACTTTTTGAATTTAAACTAATTAAGAAATGCAAAAATTGAAGTCTGTGCCTAATGTTCTATTAATGCAAAATTTCATTTGTGACCATATTCCAGCTCCTCAGGGTAAAGATGTAAAATTTAAATCACGCCCCCACAGTAAAACGGAAGAAATTTCACTACTCCATTTGTGGCATGCACAGAAACTTAAAGGCTTAGATAAGAGAAGACCCTACTGGTCACAGAAAATATATCATAAAAAGTCTGGTTCTTTGTGGGGGTTTCTACCAGTTGCTGTGACAGTGCCATTTGGGTTTACACATCCAAATGGGTGAATCCGACTATTACTTAAACTCGTCTTCAGACGACTATGAAGAGTATGGGAACTTCAGTTATTTTAACAACTCTAGTAATGTGTGTGAAATGGATGACCTCCACACATTTGGTGCCCATCTCACCACCATTCTGTACTCGCTGGCTTTTGTTCTTAGCCTGCTAGGAAATAGTTTGGTGTTATGGATCCTAATGAAGTATGAAAACCTTGCGTCTTTAACAAACATCTTCATCATGAACCTTTGCATCTCTGACCTGGTCTTCTCTTGCGTGCTGCCCTTCTGGATCGTGTATCATTTGCATGGATGGATTTTTGGTGATTTCCTCTGCAAGGCTGTGAATACTGTTTTCTCCATCAGCTACTACAGTGGTATTATTTTTTTGACCATAATGACTATTCTCCGGTACTTGGCAGTGGTGAACCCCTTGTCAGCCTTGAGTACTCAGACACGCCAGTGTGGCATTCAGGTGAGCTTGGCCATTTGGGGTGCTAGCTTGTTAGTTGTGGTTCCTGAGATGATTTTCACCCAAGTGCAAATTGATCTGGATGATTTCAGGACCTGTGATTACACTGACTTACATTGGAAAAGGGTAGACATTTATCAGCGAAATGTCTTCTTTCTCTTTTCCTTTGTTGTTATTGTATTTTGTTACGTCAAGATACTACAAATTCTGCTCAGAACAAGATCTCACAGGAAGCACAGAACTGTGAGACTCATCTTTACCATTGTGGCAGCTTTTTTCCTGAGTTGGGCACCTTATAATATACTCTGTTTCCTGCAAACTTTGCCAGCTCATTACATCTTTCTGAACTGTGAGATCCAAAAGAACATTGCGTATGCCTTCTACATCAGCCGCAAAATTGCCTTTTCCCACTGCTGCCTTAACCCTGTGCTCTATGTATTTGTTGGGGTCAAATTCAGAAGACATTTGATGCACCTGTGCAATTACCTCTGCCCATGCAACAATGGGAAAATCTCCAGCCCCAGGATTTATTCTCATGGCAAATTCCACTATGAAGATAATTCCATTTACTGAAGGCTGCTCTGCAGTGCTAAGCATGAGTGAAATATTCAGATTTTAAAGCCATTAACAATAGTTGATTTTTAGAGGCATTCATTTGAAAAACTCACATATTTATTCTTTGGAATATTTGAGATGTGGAAAACTAATAGAAAATGTATTTCCATGGGGAGGGGGTAACATCACCTCTAGGCTTTTCTAGATAAGGGGCCAAATTCTGCTCTCACTTACATTCCTGCAATTCCATCATATCCAGTAGCATTTGAAGCAGAGTAAATGAGAGCAGAACTCACCCAATGTCTCTATCTGGGATTAAGCCAGGTCTTATTAGTTTGACAGTAGCTACATAACTCAGAATACCTGATGTTTTCAAGGTAAACTTTTCACTGCTGCTGTGTACAAAGCTATTAATATTATAAGATTAACACAAACCCATTTTCTGATCCTCAGTAGGAAGTTTTGGTGGTTGATGCGTGGTAGAAGGAATTAAGTTAATGAGTGTGTTAATACTTTCTTAATTCTTGTAAAGTCACAGCACAGAGTGAAGAATGAGCCTGCTTCATTTCTTGTTTTGATAGTGATATCTCAATAGATATTGTTTCCTTTATTTGTAAAACAAATGTTTTTTCTTTAGAAAGCTAGAACAGTAGGTCTTAATGTAAATGCTTGTTTTGCAGTTCCAGCTGGTATTTAAAATACTTCATCTATGTACAGAAGTGTTTGAATCTCTGAAAAGCAGGCCCAGTCAAAGTTAGGCATGCACATATCTTTGAGTATACCAGCTTATGCATACAAATATGAGATGTGCCTGTGCAACTCAGGTAGATGCCTAGCTCGGCTAGACGAAGATGCAATTACCCATTTGTGCAAATAGCTGATTGGTGTGTGAGCTTTTTGGTATTTACATGCAGCATTTAGGCATGTGCAAACCCTTGCATGCACACAGCTTTGACAATCTAGCTCTTAAGGTGTGAGACTCCTCGACTTTAAGGCCAGGAGGCACCATCATGATCATCTAGTCTGACTTCCTGCAACAATCCATTTTAAATGCAATATATTTTAAAATTGTTGTTAGTTCCATTGGCTTATTTCTATTATGTATTTTCAATACAAAACTATATATTATTGCAATGGGATTTATTGAGATGTTGAACACATAAGTCAAGAAGTATTAACTAAAGATTTTCATGAGAACTGACACTCTGCCACATTTTCAACCTGTATTTTTCCTCCAAGCCATGTGTGTTAATTCTGTTGCCTACTTGTAACATAACTGCATTACAGATGCTCTGGAAACCAGTGCTTGCAATTTCTTAACCTTGGTGTAGAATCTCAAACATAACATTGCATTTATGTAGCTCTTTGCAATGGACCCTGAATTAGTTCTTGATTCCATTTGGTAACCCCCTTTCCTAAGCAACCACTTTACAGCATTCCTATGTGGTCCTCACTACAATTTAGTCTGATCTGTAGTTAAAGTTGACCTTTAGCAGGCGCAAGTGGTGTTTTTGGGGTGGTTTTAAGAGAAGTTTCACTGTACCTTTTTAGTCTGAGCCTGAATTCAGCTACCAGAACTAAATTCTCAATCGGGTTACTCTGGGGAAATCCATCCATCCCATTAAACATGAGTGAGTTTACCCTTTCAGTACAGCTAACACTTTTGGGATAAGCCTTTTCATTGTCTTTAGCTGAGGTATCTTGGCTTGGGGTGAAGGATTCCAGCCAAAGAGACTCCTCAAAAGACCACTGAAATTAAGAAGATTCTTTCCACTGACTTCAATAGACTTAAAATCAGGGCAAAAATGCCTTCAGCTATGCAGATGAAGACCACACAAAGGAAAATGGATCTGATTCAGGAATAATTCCATTGACTTCAACAAAGCTATACCTGAGTAAACTGAGTAAAGAGAAAATTAAGGCCCTTGTCTGCATCATTCAAAGGATGCTGAAAACTTAACTATGACAGGTGCTATGAGGCACCCTCTATAATTCTTGTTTTGGTTTTATTTCATATTCTGTATGAGGCCGGGCAATATAATAAAGGGATAAGATTAACCATGTGAATTGTTTTTTGGTTTGGTTTTTTGTTTTTGGTTTTTAACTTTAAACAGTTTAGTTAAATTAGTTTGATTTTTAACTTTGTGTTTTGGTTAGGATATCTGTATTTCTGAAAATGGAGTATGTAAAGAAAATTGAATTTTACTAATGCAGAATAACATGTAACATTTGGTATTTTCTGTTTTCGATTAATTCCTATTAAAACTGTACCTGAAGTATTTGCAGTTTGCATGTGATTGTGAGCTCTCTTGGGAAGGAACTGTCTTCTTTACTTGTCTGTACAGTGCCTACCGCACTGGGGCCCTGATCTGTAACTGGGGTTCTTAAGCACTACTATAATATAAAATATCTAGCTCTTTTATATAATAGTGTTTACACCCACAGATCTCAAAGTGCTTTACGGGGAGGTTAATATCATTACCCCCATTTTACAGATGCGGGGGGGGGGGGGGAAATCAAGGTACGGCGAGGAGTAGTGATTTGCCCAAGGTCACCCATGGATTAATGACAGACCCAGGATTAGAACCCAGCTCTCCTGAGTCCCAGTCCAGTATTTCATCTACTTGGCTACACTGTCTTTCTATACATACATTTATTTTATTTATTTTATTTTATCCAAAACAAGAATGTGGACTATAAACCACTGTACATAGTGTAGCTTCCTAATGCTCTTAATCTTCATTTTACAAAATATAGTACAGTGCTGAGGTTTGAGGCCCGCTCATTCTTTATTTGCCGTCAGTAGCAGTGTTGCTACTGACTTCAGTGGGAGCAAGTTTAGGCCCATTGTATATATTCAGGGGTCAGTTTTCAAACTTGAAACGTGGACAATCCAGGCACCAAATAAAACAGAAGCATTTAGGGATGATGAATGTGGATGCTGTGCAAGAAACCTTAGATTGTTTCATATCCTGTGTTTTTATATATCTGTCTTTTGTGATGATGTCTAGTATGCTGTTGAGTTACCTTACAGGGACATGATCCAGAAGTTGCTTCATGTGTAGAACTTTGTCTGCAGCAGGGTTCCACAGTTGGAGGCCTTGTTCTGTATCTGGCACGGTATCTTTGCCTGAAAAGTAACATTATAAGTAGAACTGATCAGGAATTTTTCAATGAAGCTTTGCCAGAAAATATTGGTTTGTTAAAACCAAAATCATCTGTGGGAAAGGAAAGGTTGGTGTTGACTAATTTCCCATTTTGAAAAAACTTTGGAGAAAAGAATTTTGAAAGGTTTGGTTCTGTCATTTACTAAATGAAAAGTTCAGGGTTTTTTTTGGTTTTGCAGCCATATTTCTGGTTTTTAAAAATGTAAAAAAAAAAAGTTGAAATTGAAACAAGGTTTTTAAAATTATCAAAATGAAACATTTCAACTGACCTGATGCACTTTTTTTCCCAAATTTTCAGTAAATGAAAATTCTCGAGATTTTGACTTTTCATCCTGATTCAGGAGGGGGATGTTTTGCAAAATTTTTAAATTTTTGCAAGATCGGAAAACTGGGACTCCATAATACAGTGCTCAGCTGTTTGAAATCAAAACCAAAATTGTTAAAATCAGGAATAACAATGCACATCACACCCCAACCCCAACCTTGGATTTTTCCTCTCTTCCACTTATTTTTAAATAAGTACTTTCGTTGCCTCATAAGAAATTTTTCTTACATATCGACTGTTGAAGAAATAGAGCCTGGTGTTAAGTGGTCTCAGAACTCCCATTGACCGTTGCTGAATTAGGTTCAAAATATCTGAAAATGAATATATTCTGATAGGTGCCGCCTGAAGGATCACAGCACGTGCAAGAGGCAAAACAGAAGAGCGTACTGTGGTGTATTGAAAACAGTGTTAAAATTATAAGATATCACTTTAAGTGTGTCAGGAGTTTCCTCATGCTTGCAGGCTAGGGGCACTGCAGGCAAACATGCTATCCCAGGTCTTGAGTAATCAGTTTGCAGCCAGCCAGCCTAGAGCAAGGTGGGTTGAGTTGTGGCTCTGTGCTTTTGGGAGCAGCCTGCTTTTGTCTTTCTCTGTTTTGGGGTTCTTGTGTGTTAGGGTTCTGAATTTTAAGAAATAGTGTTGCATTGCAACATTTCAGAAAGATATAAACATAAAATACTCCATCTCCTCTGTGTGTATGCTGTAAACATAATACACATGAGAAACAGACCCTAGAATACTATATAGATAAGAGGAAGAGCTTTGTATAAGTTCAAAAGCTTGTCTCTCAGCAGCACAAGTTGGTCCAATAAAAGATTTAATTACCTCACACTCCTTGTATCTCTAATATAGATTAGCTCTCCGTTAAAGTGAGAACAGCCCATATGAAGTACTAGAGGGGATTTTGTATTACATATAAAGAATAGCTACATATGAAAATAGGAGGAACATGGATGTAGTGATACCTGAGAGTTCTGCCACTGATACTCAAGTAATCTGGAGAGTAGCATAAGGGTAAAAAGGATCTTCATTGGTTCTTTGTGAAAATAGGAGAAAGCAGTTCTTAAGGCAAATGCCATATAAATCTACAGAGGAAAAATGCCCCTTTGAAAATGCTCTCACTCCCATGCTGGGGCCATTGGAAACTTTCCTTATGCCTTTGCTAGCTAGGTGTTTTCATAAAAAAAATTTTTTTTAATTTAAAAATTTTCTGTTTTAAAACCAGAGGGTTGATATATTTTTCTGCAGAAATGTCTACGTCGTCCAAGTGCCATTTTCCACCAAAAAAGTTTCAACAGTAATTTTTCGACCAGCTCTATTCACCCTCTATTCTGACAATGATTCTGAAGTAACAAATTCAGCATCAGTATTGCCTTTGTTGTCAGACCAAATTAGAGGAGTTGTTGAGTTCAGAGGATGAAATTCACTCCTGTGCAGCACAAGACCTATGCATCACTTCCTTCCCCTTAAACCTTCAAAATAGGGCTTACGTGGGACTTAAGTAATATATAGAACTTGTGCTACCCCTCTACACAGAGCTGAATGTCATTGATACAGAACAAATGCAAATAACTTTGGTAATTAGCAAAGTCAAGGCCAAAACTTTTCAGTCCTACTCTGACCAAACTTCCTTTAACTTCAATGGGAGTGGCACCTGATTTAGGAAGTGACATTTTTGGTTATTGATACTGTAAGAGAAATTATGAAAAACCCATTAAAAAGTGGATTTTTAAATTTCTACCTACAGTTCAAAGCACAATGGGGCAATGATCTCAGCTGGGATCTCCATGAGCTCCAGTGATACAAAGAAAAACTAATAATTGCTATTTGAAAGCCCCCTTTCAACCTTTCCAGGCACTTGCTAAGTGTAAGTTTCAGTATAAAGCTGCTGCTTCTTTACATATCTGATTGAATATCAATTCAATCAGATATTTCAGTCACACATGAGTCATTTGGTGAGGAAACCATAATCAAAAATCTTATTTTTCTAAGCAAATATATGCACTTTCTTAATGTGTGAGGCAATTTACTTCAACGCATTTCACTTAACATTCAGTGATGTATGCCACTGTGTAAAAAGCCTGTATTACAAAAATACCTTTTACTTCTCTGTGGTAAGCGAACTCAGCTGCCTCCATTAAGCAACAAGGCAAGTTAAAGGCCTTTGAGTCTGTTCTGTCCTCTGGAAGGGAAAAAAAAGGTATGCATTTACTCAATACCATTTTCTTGGGATAAAAATAATCTTCAATCCAGCATGGGGAAGAAGTCTAATACTCAAGACTTATTAAACTATTAACGCATAAGAAATGTCAAACTAGTTCATTTCACTTTTTGATTTTGACTTTAATAGAGTGTCCCTTGATAGATTTTTTTTTTTTTAAGGCCAGAAGGGACTATTCGATCATGTCTATCATGACTGTCATCTTTGCTCACCTTGTTTTATATATTACATCAGTAGCATTTTCTCATTCTCTCTCTGCAGGCACTGCAGCTATGAACTTTGTGGCAGAGACCATCTTCTTGTTGTGTTTGTACCATGCTAAACATAAAGGGGCCCTGGTCCATGACCACGGTTTCTAGGCACCATGGTAATACTACTGATAATAATTAATAATGATATGACATTTAACAGGAATGAGAAGGGACAGAGACATGGAGCCCATAACAGCTGGCTGGAAAGAAGACAATTCTTGACTCTCAGAGGCCCTGTGATCCGGCCAACAGAGCACAGATTGTGGTGTTGGGAGTCCTTGGAGCTAATCCCAACTTTGCCACAGACCTGCTGTGTGAGAAGTCACTTCACCTCTTTGTGCCTGAGATTCCACATCTGTAAAATGGGGGGGGGGGAAGGAATGGTGTTCACCCCATTTACAAAGTGCTTCCAGAGCTGCAGATAAAAAGTACTGTATCAGATAAGAGGTAGGGATTATCACTATTGTTAAAAAACAAAACAAAACAAGGAGTCCGGTGGCACCTTAAAGACCAACAGATGTATTTGGGCATAAGCGTGTGTGGGTAAAAAAAAAACCCTGCTTCAGATGCATGGAGTGAAAATTACCATTGTTGTTACTCCGTACAATTAAAGGGTTAAAGAGGGACAAGGGACTCATGGGAGATGTAGGCCAGAGGAATCATGGGAGTTGTAGTGAAACCTCCTCAGTGTATTCCAATGTAATGGCTGCCCAGGCGGAGGTAATGTACTTTCTCCCCTCTGTGGACTATACGTATTTTCCCCTGTGTGAACAGAGTGCCCCCCCCCCCGCACGCGGGTAGTGGCCTGGCTGGGGGGCGCGAGGCAGGGCCTGGCAGGAGAGGGGCTGGCAGGGCCAGGCAGGCTCAGTTCTGCAGGTTACGTTCTGTGGGACAGGAGAAGTCACTGCATTCTGTTTTGACTTTGTCACTTGGCTGCTGGGGGGTTCTTTCCGACGTGCTGTGTGTGTGTGTGTTGCCTTTTGTAGGCAGACACCCCTCCCCACCCCCTGGAGTGCACATGCCGGAGCCCCTGTGTGTGAAGGGCATGCCTTCAATTCCGCAAAACTTTGCCCCTCTGCCGCCCGCTCTGCAACTTCCCAAACACTCTCTCCCGGCCCTGTCGGTTTCAGTGCTCCCTGCAGCGCCCTGCTCTCTCTCCCTTCTCCCTCCCCGCTCCTCCCCACTTGTGACTCTCACAAGTTGGCAAGGGTGTGAGACTGTTTCCCAGCAAGTTTCTAGCGTGTGGTGTAACAGGTAGATTCCTCCCCCCGTAGCCAGCCAACAACAAACAGCTGGGGGAGCAGCTGACAGTCGTTTTTCATGCCTGGTTTAAACCTTTTCAGGAAGCAGAATAAACGCCACCCAGGCTATTAGCATGCAATATGCGGGATGCTACGTCAAAGCTCTCAAGCTTTCTTTCCCCTGCCTTCCTCCCGTCATCATTCTTCTGTCCCTACCAACTCTCCTTTGCTGCCGCTTCTGCCTCCCTCTCGGTCCCCTTGTTCACACGGAGGTGTCTTGCTCTCTTTCCGTCCCGGTGTGAGGCGTTCTCTGTAGTAGTCCAGTATTGTAACCGATATTTGGATTGGAAGATCTTTACGGCAGGGAAGTGTTTTTACATGCCTGTGAAATGCTATAGACATCAGAAATAACAACAATGTCTCTCTTTCTCCCGAATAGAATTGTGAAAAAGTTCTGTGTTTCTCCAAAGTGTAAACTTGTCTTTGATTGTTCATAATCTTCTCATTAGAGGAGAGTTCTGCAAATTTTCTGGAGGAGCAATGTTGTTTGGACATTTTGTAGAAAATGCGCACACGAATCCTCCCCCCCCCCCCCCCCCCCGACTTATGAAATGCTGACCTAAATATTCACAGAAGTCCTTGTGTAGGCAAATCTGCTGCTGACGGTGAGGATTTTGTCTGCACAAAGCCAGCCTGGTCTCGCTCCAGAATGTCTGAGGATTTAGGTGCAGCACTCCCACTATTGTTTACCCTGTTGCACATACCTGTTAGACAGGTATAAAGCTATCACTTTTGTTTATGAAATTATGATCTGTTTTTATTGGCATGCACTTTGCATTCTTCTTGACTAGAGAGACCCTGTTCTGGCCAGCCGGCATGTGGTGGAGTAATGCTGCATATAAGAAAAGGAGAAAGGGCTGGTGAATTCATTGCACTTTTCTCCTCTCACACTGTTTTAACAGGCTTGTAACTTCATTGACTGTCTTCGAGTTACTCCTTTCAAACTGGTATAAATCTGGAATATCAGGCCCTATGTTTCTTATTCAGGAGCACAAAGAGTGGATACTTGAGTTCTTCAACTCTGATCCCACCCGTCAGTTCACCACCACAGATTGTGATTAACTTTCAGTGCACAAAAATTGAATTTATGTTGTCCATATAACATCACAGGTCCTGGTGAATTGTACTGTAGGCGTGTTTTTTAGTTCTGCATGTACATAAATGGAATATGCAGCAGAGAAGATAAACTATAAATGCCCCCTTCAAGAGAGTTTAACAGATTTAAGAACAATGTTTAATTACACAAATGTATTACTGTGTACCAGATGTCCTTCTTGCAGTTTTCCAGAGATCCTTAAAGGGGCACCTTCACTTAAAAAAAATCATAGTTCTGTTATGAAAAAAAATTATTTACTGTTGTTAAATAAGATTCCTATGACTGAAAAAAGATTAGAGAAAAAATATATTTCAAATGTTTCAGTTGGTTTACTTTGTGAAATCAACCATAGACTCAGTGCTGTCAAATGCATATTTTCCTCCAGTCAGTTAGCCATGAAACCTGAATCTTATTTATACAGAAGCCCCTTTATAAACCATTCTGACAGTGTAAAGTGGCCTTAAAGTGGGTGTAATACATCTACATTGCCTGAGAGGTGTATAAAGAGGCCTTAATGTAAATGGGAATCTGGCCCATAGTGTAAAGTCTTACTTGCATACAGAAGTATATTCAGGATCAGGGCCTACCACAGAAACTCAGGAGAGGAGTCTATTAAAAATGCAAGCAAATGTGATGGTAAAACTCCAGGGCAAGGTAGTACCTAAAACTACTTGTAACTTGAGTAATTTTTTTAATTAGATTTTTTTAAGCTGACAGTATCTTTTTAAGGGGACATTGTTGGGTAAAATTTTATGACCCTCCTAGCCTTTATCAACTAATACTCCTTAGTTGATTAAAATGGAGAGAATTTTTCAAATCCAGTGTAATTTTCACTATTATTTACTTTTTACATTTCTCCTTTCTTGGACAATGAAAATAGACTAGTTCTTGCAGTTCCACTTTTGTTAGTAGTCAGTTTTTATTTTTAGGGTCTCGTGCACTAACTCAGCTGTTTTTAGGCTGCAAAACCTGCAGATGAATAATTTAAATCACAACATTTTTTTCAAAATATAACAAAAAAAGGAATAGCAAAACTCAGGACAGGGCGGAGGGGGTGTTTGAAGTGGGATGTAGCCCACAAAAGCTTATACTCTAATAAATTTGTTAATCTCTAAGGTGCCACAAGTACTCCTATTCTTTTTGTGGATACAGACTAACACGGCTGCTACTCTGAAATCTAAAATTTGGTTGCTAAATGAGGGTCTCTAATATGATTTGTTCAGCTGGAACAGTGTTTGCAAGCTTTTGCTGCACCCACAATCTTATCTTGCGTCTTATAGTCTTTGATTTAATCTTTTCAGCCATTGCTATATGCTGTGGTTGCCATCTGTCTAATCTAAGGTACTTATAGAATGCCAGTCACTGCAGTGTATAAGCACCACGGTAACGTCACTTATTGCTGCAAAGTGCAAGGGATATGCAATGCCATGCTGCAGCGGCAGCAACCGAGCCTGCTTAGTTTACCAAAAGCAACTTCCCTTTTGACAGCTGACAAACTGGATCAGTATCACATTGAACAACAGGATCAGGCTGGCTTAATACAGGCTTCTATTATGTATGTGTCTGTCTGTTCAAAAAGGATCGTGCTTGTAGAGATCCCATAGCCAAATTGCTTTTTAAAGTTCTTCATTTTGCAACCCAAACAAACAAAATGGAGGGCCAAAACAGGCCCGCTACAGTAAAACAGGGTACTGTGGTAGAACTCAGTCAGTACTTCCTGGGGCATCACCGCAAATCGATGGAGCTGTGGAGAGGTGAAAGAAGAACATGAGGGGTGCTCATCCCCTAGCTCTTGCGATGGCATGATTCACTCAGTGGGAACAGTTCTGGTTTTCTCTGCATATCTGTCCGTTCTTGATTTAATTCAACTGCCTTCTACCTGCCCCACTCATACTCTGCAGTGGTTTCCACATGCAGGGTCCAAATCTGTAATATTTTCACTATCGTTTGGTACTGATTCCATTGGGAGTTTTGTATAGAGTAAAGGCGAGGGCCCATAATGTCCTGCCCGCTGCCATAATCCTGGTGGTATAGGTGATATAAAGCTGCATGCTGACATTTCTAAGAACCCATCTGCCAATATTTGAAAACTGTAAATAGGGATACGCCCACCCCCTTTTAGTACCACTGAAATTCACTGGATCACAAGAGATTTTCGGTGGACAGCATGTGGACAGAGGTTATATTTGGGTAAAAAACATAATAAGGACAGCTCTCCTAAATAGAGGCAATGGTTATTAATATTTATTAGCACTTATGTTGTATTAAAATATCCAAAAGTACGTGAGGTTCCTCACACAAGAGAATAGGCCCAAAATCTCAAAAGTGACTAATGATTTTGGGTGTCTCCATTTTTTTGAAGCCCTACTTTACACACTTAAAAGGGGCCTGATTTTTCAGTAGGTGATGAGGACCCGCCCTCTAGAAATCAGTCCCCTTTAATCATAGAATACCAGGGTTGGAAGGGACCTCAGGAGGTCATCTAGTCCAACCCCCTGCTCAAAGAAGGACCAATCCCCAATTTTTGCCCCAGATCCCTAAATGGCCCCTTCAAGGATTGAACTCACAAACCTGGGTTTAGCAGGCCAATGCTCAAACCGCTGAGCTATCCCTCCCCCAGGTTGTTTCAGGTTGGGCACCCCAAATCACTAGGCACTTTAAAAATGTGGGCTGTATACTTTATCTTTCTAGTTAGGTATCTTTATTGCCTCCATCACTAGAATAGCTCCAGGGACGTGGTTCCTGCATTGGGGTATATCTACACAGCAGCTGGGATGTGTGATTCCCAGCATGGGTAGATAGACACATGCTAGCTCTGCTCAAGCTAGTGTGCTAAAAATAGCTATGTGGCTGCAGTGGTATGGGCAGTGGCTCTGGCTGCCTGCTTGACCCTCTGGATGTATACTCAGGTGACTAGCCTGAGCCTCCGTCTGTGTTGCTGTGGCTACACTGCTATTTTTCGGTGCTAGCTCGAGCAGAGCTAGCATGTGCACATCCACTTGTGCAGGGAATCGCACCTCCTTTGGGAGCTTGCAAGCTGATTTCAGACGTGACTCGATGAAGGAGGTATCAGAACACGTGCCGGAAGAAAAGGGAGGAAGAGCAGGTTTTCCAGCAATGAGATTACATAGTTACTCAGCAAAGGTTTGCGCACATGGAAGTATAAAGAGAAAATCGTTCAATTTTTTGTAGGTAAATGTCTTTGACTTGACATGCAGGTAGAGGTGGGTCTGAAGGAGGGATGAGGAGAAGGAAAGGGCCTTGCGCAGCAGCAGCTCTGGAAGGCTTCCATGCAAAGGGGATGGTGCAGAAAAAGGTGTAGAGACGGTGGTTAGAGAAGTGGATGAATAAGGTGTTGAGGTTACATCCATTGGGAGAGTAACAGGGGTGGCATCTCAGAAGAGACAAGGTCAGATAAGTATGCTAAGAGTGATATCACTGTATTTTCTTTCAGCAAAAGAGCCCTCTTCTCTTTTAACTGACTACTTCCTCAAGTGTGCAATCTCTCTCATAGTGATATCTCCTATGAAACAGTGCTCTCCTTGTGAGATAAGCACATGTCCATCTTTGCCTCCCCGTTAGCGTGAAATGGTCATTACACCTCAGCATTGTTGGTGCGAAGAGCATTACGGGCAAAACACTGCACCCCCAAATCATGGCAGCATCCTTATAGTGCATCAACTCTGTTCTGTTTGTTTTTTGATGGGAGAGCTTTTAACCTGCATCTTAATTTGAGTGTCCGGCCTGTTTGTTCCAGTGTTGCTGAGTAAAAATGGGTTCATTTTTTTTTCTATGCTTCACATGCCCTTCCTGCCACTTCACTCCCCCACTGAGTGTTAAAAAATTGTCTTATAACAGACTACATCCCACCTAATTCTTATTGAATCAGTTGTACTTTACCTTTTGTTTAAAAACAAAAAATCCTCAACTTACGTGGGAAAAAACCCCCAGTCTTCTGTGCAGGCACGTTAGCTAGTTTACATAAATTTTTATATTGGAGCATTTAAAATGGAAAAATGTATACTGTGGATGGATGCATGGTTAGATATTATGCAAAATCTCATTGATCTTGCTGAGACACAGCACTCATGCTGGAGTAGATCCATTCGTGTGGTATCAGGGAGACTGAAGTGTTCTCCTACTGGTTTTTTAATTAGTTATAATTCCTGATGTCAGGTTTATGTCCATTTATTCTTTTGTGTAGAGACTGTCCGGTTTGGCCAATCTCTCTGGTCACTCAATAACAGACTTAAAAGTGGCAATTCTTCAACAGCAAAAATTCACAAACAGACTCCAACGAGAAACTGCAGAATTAATTTGCGAACTGGACACCATCAAATTAGGCCTGAATAAAGACTGGGAGTGGATGGGACATTACAAAAACTAATTTCCTCCTACTGTTACTCACACCTTCTTGTCAACTGTTTAAAATGGGCCGTCCTCATTACCACTACAAAAGTAATTTTTCCTCCCTTGGTATTCTACTGTTAATTGTCTCATTAGCACTGACCCTCCCCCTCCCCCATGGTCTGGCAACTCCCATCTTTTCATGTACTCTGTATATATGCCTTCTACTGTGTTTTCCACTCCAAGCATCTGATGAAGTGGGTTTTAACCCACGAAAGCTTATGCCCAAATACATGTGTTAGTCTCTAAGGTGCCACAAGGACTCCTCATTGTTTATACTATATCATGTAATTGTGTGGTTTTCTTATTCTGCAAAGTGTCTGCTCTCCCTAGAATGCAAGATCCTGGCCAATAGAATAGATGTAAAGTGTTCTAAGGTATTACCTTACTATTCTTCTACCAAGATTTTATATAACAATTATACTTTTGCATACTTCATCTGGTTACCATGTGTTGATATCCTTTGGCAGGGGTGGGCAACCTGAGCCTGAGAAGGAGCCAGAATTTACCAATGTACATTGCCGAAGAGCCACAGTAATATGTCAGCAGCTCCCCCACCCCTATTCCCAGCGCCTCTTGCCCACCGGCAGCACCGCCGATCAGTGCCTCCCGCTCCCTCCCAATCAGCTGTTTCGTGGCGTGCAGGAGGCTTGGAGGGGGAGGAGCGAGGGCATAGCAGGCTCAGGGGATGGGGCGGGAAGGGGTGAAGTGGGGGCGGGGCCTGGGGCAGAGCAGGGGGTTGAGCAGTGAGCACCCCCAAGCACACTGGAAAGTTGGCGCTTGTAGCTCCAGCCCCGGAGTCAGTGCCTATACAAGGAGCCGCATGTTAAGTTCTGAAGAGCCGTGAGTGGCTCCAGGGTCACAGATTGGCCACCCCTGTGCTATGGTATTTCGCTTGCCATGATTTTTATGTGTTCAATTTTTCTACAAAATCTTTTTTTTTCTTTTTAAATAAAATAAGTGATTGCCAAGTTTCCCTCCCCACTCCGAACTCTAGGGTACAGATGTGGGGACCAGCATGAAAGACCCCCTAAGCGTATTCTTACCAGCTTAGGTTAAAACTTTCCCAAGGTACAAACTTTGCCTTGTCCTTGAACACCACCAAGCGTTCTAAACAAGGAACAGGGAAAGAGACCACTTGGAGACTCTTTCCCCAAAATATCCCCCCAAGCCCTACACCCTCTTTCCTGAGGAAGGCTTGATGATAATATCCTCACCAATTGGTACAGGTGAACGCAGACCCAAACCCTTGGATCTTAAGAACTTTGCCTTGTCCTTGAACAGTATGGTGCCACCACCAAGCGTTCTAAACAAAGAACAGGGAAAGAGACCACTTGGAGACTCTTTCCCCAAAATATCCCCCCAAGCCCTACACCCTCTTTCCTGAGGAAGGCTTGATAATAATATCCTCACCAATTGGTACAGGTGAAAGCAGACCCAAACCCTTGGATCTTAAAAACAATGGAAAAATCAATCAGGTTCTTAAAAGAAGAATTTTAATTAAAGAAAAGGTAAAAGAATCACCTCTGTAAAATCAGGATGGTAAATACCTTACAGGGTAATCAGATTCAAAACATAGAGAATCCCTCTAGGCAAAACCTTAAATTGCAAAAAGACACAAAAATAGTAATATACATTCCCTCCAGAGCAGCTTATTTTACAGACCATTAAACAAAAGAAAATCTAACACATTTTCTAGCTAGATTACTTACTAACTTTACAGGAGTTGTAAGGCTTGCATTCCTGATCTGTTCCCGGCAAAAGCATCGCACAGACAGCCCAAACCCTTTGTTCCCCCCCCCTCCAGATTTGAAAGAATCTTGTCCCCTCATTGGCCATTTTGGGTCAGGTGCCAGGAGGTTACCTTAGCTTCTTAACCCTTTACAGGTGAAAGGATTTTGCCTCTGGCCAACGGATTTTATAGCACTGTATACAGAAAGGTGGTTTCCCTTCCCTTTATATTTATGACAGTGATACTACCTGAGCCCTAGAATAAGAGGGCAGGAGGGGGAGGATGTATGCAAAATCCAGAATGGTCTTCAGCTCACCCTCTCATAGCAGGTTTGCCTATGAAATATTAAACCAGCATGAAAAGTACTGAAAACTTATTTTTATAACTGTGATTAGCAGATACAAGTGACTGAAATACAGCGGGAGAAGATTTTTTCAGTAAGAAGGTAGATTTCACTTCTCAGAGTGGAACCACACTTTAAGGCTCTGGGAATTCTTCATTGACATTCAGACTTAAGGCTGCCTCTCATTCGGAATGTGTCCTATTGAGGGTAGGTATTTTCTCACATAGGTTTATAACTTTGTTCAAGAAGATGTGATGATAAATCACAATGACCTTTTAAATGTTTCTGTGAAAGGGGTCATGTTACTCTCTATATATTACTCAAATTCTTAATCACAGCAAACAGCAGTCATTAGTTTTTGTGAGTATAGCAGCTAAATGAGCCAGTAACGTACCATTCATGATACTATACAAACTGAGGCAGGATATCAGAAATATACATTGGAACTGTATGCTTCTTGTAGTGTCAGTGTAAATATTTAATACTTTTTTTTAAAAGTTAAAGTCTTTCTGAAGGTTATAGAATGTCAAAAGTTTTTTAATTCTTTAGTATTGCAGTGAGGTTTCTGGTCAGTGACTCTTCTGCATTTCTAGTAGCTCGCTCATGCATGCCTGCTGTTAGTGTATTTATGCAACAGTCGCTAGATTTCTTGTGTCACCCTCCAAAAGTGCGCTTTGCAGTTAGCGGTCCCTGTCTTCTATTATGGGACAAACCTTGCTCACTTTCTTCAAGGGGGCAGGACCTTTAAAATCAATGGGACTACAGCAGTAAGGGTTGTAGGATTGGGCCCTAGCGCATCTTCACTTACCCATGGTTTCCATACAGGGTGCTATCGTAACCAGGTGTTGAATACTTAAAGTTCATATTATATTGGCAAGGAATGTGTGGCGAGGTACCCCGGCGCCTGTGCTGCTCTATGGGCAAGGCATAGACTATGTAATAACGTTAGCCTAAGACACCTCAGTGGATACCCGAGCAATGAATTTTGTCCAAGGGGTTTAACAGTATTATGTAATGAAAGCGCTCCCTCCTGTATGATTTATGTAGCTAACTATCTATCATGTCATTGATCTTTTGCGGGAGGTATTTGGGGAGAAGGAGAATAAAGGAGCTGTCTTCAGAGTGTGGTTTTCCCATAAAAAATATACTGTGAATTTCCATAGCTACTGTGCAGTTAAACTCTAAGTGACCTATAATCATTGCTTTTCTTTGTTATTTTGTTTAATTCTCCTTTGGGTAAATCTTTCTTCTCTCCAGTGGATGAGTCTGGGCTGATGCCCATCTGTTTCCCCATTTAATCTCACAGCTCTTCTCCTCTACAAAGCAGATTTAATCACCCACACACTCGTATTTCAAAAGGGATGACAAGAAATGTGGCCTCCTCCCAGACTCATTGGACACTGCCACGTGAGTGTATGGAGAGAGCAATGAGTTTCTTTACCTCCCTCTTTGAAAATCATGTGCCAGTTTTTCAGCTGGTATAAATGGGTGTCATTCCATTGATTTCTATTAACGTCAGTGTCATTAGAGAGGAGCTAGCTCAGAGTTTTGCATAAATGCTGAAGTGACCAAAGCAGGTTGTGTGGGTGTGCTGTATAATTAAGTTATGATCTATTAATATTTCACCGATCCCATTTCATATAATTTTACACTTTTGCAAAAAGACAGAGGTGGGGTGGGTTGTATCCTAAACAATAGGATGTGAGACTCTGGATGAAATACTATAGCCTGTGTAATGCAGAAGTCCAGTCTAGACGATCATAAAGGTCCTTCTGACCTTTAAATCTCTCATAGATGCTTTGATGGCCCACTGGGTGCTTCACAGTCTTTAGTGTATATATTCTCAGAACATCCCATTGTGGTAGAGAAGTGCTATTTATCCCCATGTTACAGATTGCGGAACGAGGCAGAAGCAATTTAAGTACAGTCTTTCCTTGCAAAAGCTGCCAGGGTTGAATCATCCCCCCTGCGTCTGTGAGCAGCAGAGACCCAGAACCCAGACATATCTCCACAACATCTTCCTCCAATCCTGCAGAGGCCTCTCTGTGCAGATCAGACTCTGAGAGGTGGTGAGCCAGGAGTATGACAGGTACAATGCCTCCCGGAGCTCCACTCAACGCAACTGAGTGCCACCACGGTGCTACGCTATTACAGATTTCAGTGTATGCTGTCCCCTGCCGGGCTGTTGCACAGTAGAGGGTGCTCGGTCATAATGTAAACCCTCCACTCTGCACCTTTTTTGCAGAGGTTTGTGCTGCTATAGATGATGGTCTCGTGGCCTTTGTGCTTCCCGAGCTCAGAGATTGTGATTTTGCCTCGTCCCTGCATAGCGGCAGGAGTGGGGACTAGGGTCGCCACCTGTCCAGGTTTTCCCAGGATCATCCCTTTTTATTCAGTGGCTGCTCTGGGAAATCGAGAAGGGTGCTCAGTGCCAAGGCTGGATGTAGCCTCCCAATTCAATGGGTGCCCTATACTAACCTGCCAGGGGGGCACTTACCACCCACAGCAGCACCTTCTGCCCCAGCACCAAAGCTGTAAAGTGGCCTGGTGAAGTGGGGAGGGTGCTGTGTTTGTTATATTATATGGGATAACTTCTCTAATGCAGGATGCTTTATCATGTTGTTGACCATAACCAAACTCAACCAGTGACCAAGAAACATGGAGATGTTATTGTATGCAACCCCTAAGCAGAATTAAGGTAGGAATCATTACACCATGAAGCTAAAGATACAGTATCAAAAGAAAGCAGGGGAGTTGGTTCTGGTCGATCTTGCATTGATTTTTGCTGGTGTTACTCCAGTGAATTCAATGGAGATACTCCTGCTTATGACCAGTGTGACATCAGAATTAGACCTGGTGTTCCAGAATCTCAACAGGTGTCAATTGGTATAGCTCCATCAGTGCAACTGTTCCAATTCACACACGCTGAAGAGCTCACTCTGTTTTTTGATTGTTGGCATTGTATCCAGTGTGTTGCCTTCAGAACAAGGGCTGCTTTTAAATAGCAAAGGTATATGTGTATTCTGAATATTATTATTATTATTATTATTTTTATTATTGAATTTTTATATAGCAGCAAGTGCATGCTGGGGACTTCAGAGAAACAAGTGTGCTCCGTAGGACAGGGAGATCTAGCCCAGCCTAATAACACGACCAATAGACATCAAAGCATGGCAGTGGAAAACAGCACATTGACTAAATTTGGGTATTAAGAGTCGTGCACTTGAGAGAACAATTTTAGCCTTTTATTTATTTGTCTGTCACTCTCTTTGCTAAGGTTTATTTTAATTACCTTTACTTTGTGTCAAAAAGGCCAAGGATTGGTTGTGACAGGTACACAGCAAAGCAGCACGTGGGCACATAAGTTTTAAAGTGTCACCTTTATGACTCATCTGGTCTCTCCCCAAAACCCACTGGAGTATGTCTGTATAGTTATATAAAGAATGGAAGAGATGTGTGCAGCTATTTAATCTTCTCACACCAGTGCTTGAAAAGACTGTGATCATCGCAGTTACATAAAATAACCCAACAGTTATATTTGTATTAAAACATATACAAGTGGGGCCAGATTTTCAATAGACTCAGCATTTTGAGTGTTGAGCTCTTTTCAAAATCTGGCCAGAAGTGTCACAACAGGAGCTGCTGGGTGCCCAGAGCTTTTGAAAATCTGCCCCTTATTAGGTACCTCAGTGGGAGATGAGCTCTTTTGAAAATTTGCCCCCAATTCTGAGCATCGAGCACTTGAAAATTTGGCTCTGAATGTTTATCCATCTTTATAAAATATTTTGAAATCTGTGAATGAGAAGTGCTACTCAAAGGTTATCTATTATTATTATATATTATGAATTAACTTGCCGTTGTGACTGGAGCTGAAAACTGAATAGGAACCCCCCATAGGCCCTAACTATAGTAGTGTACTAGCCAGGGATGCTGTAACATACCTTAAAATAATGTGGTACTGGAAACTGTGAGTATTAAGAAGAGGGAGGAGACCAGGCTGTTTTGAAAATAATCTGGAGGTTTATGACTCAAGTAAAACAGTGAATTGACCAAATCAGAATGGGAATATCCGCCGATCCCAGAGGAGACAATTAGACCATACTCATTCTAGGACGCTAAGGTTCGTTCTTGGTACTCTGGCTAGTAAGGTTGCTGCTTTCTGGAGTGAAGGAAATGTGCTTGTAACACTGTTCTGTGTTCCATATAGAAAAGGTACTGCGTAGAGCTCCTGTTGGGACGCTCTCGCGTTATCAGAACTTCACTCAGGATCAAAGGATTAACTATATAGAATCCTAGCTTGGACTAGACAGTGAAACTAGCTTGTGTCATAGCTCCAATGGGGGAATGAAAATTTGTCAAAATTGATTTTGCTAAATTTGAAAAGGGGAGACAGGGAAGGTTAAATTAAAAAGAAAATAGTACAACGGGGTTATTAGGAAAAAACCTCACTATGGAAACATTATTAAATGTGATTTAAAAATCCAAAGCACCATAGTTAAGTCAGTGTATGTGTTAGTGTGTGTGTGTGTATGCGTGTGCACATGTGCTGTTTGTACCAGATTATATATAAATAGATTTTCTTCTTTAGAATTGCAGATGCCACAAAGGAAACTAATCTCCTCCAACTGAATGGTCATCAAGGATGTGAACTGTGCTTTTTTTTGTCTAGCTGGGTGAAGAGTTTATCAGCGTGGGCTTGCACCTCCTTTGGTTTTCATGATGGCAGCAACTAGTGGAGAAAGCCAGCTACAGAGGATTATCAGAGATTTGCAAGGTATGGTGCCTGTTGGCAGATTAAATCTGTAGGCTGGCCTGCATTCCTCATGTTTTAATTGAACAGGGGAAGTGTTTGTCTGATATCTGTGTATGGCATTGTAACAGGAAATTGGACTGTTCTGTATAGATGTGACTCTGGTTTCAAATGTTACATAAAGTTTACTAAGCCTTTTTTGGTAGGATCTTAAATTATGTCTGTTTTACAAAGAAGAAAAAATTCTCTCTGGTTAGGATCTTCTCTCACTCACACGTCAGGAGTAACACCACTGAAGTCAACAGAGCCAAACGGCTGTAAATAAGTGCAGTGTCAAAGTGAGGACGATCAGCTCTAATTTCTTTTTACTGTTTTTTTTTTTTAATGCACACGATGGGTCATTCATTGTTCACTAAGACAAATACCCAGTTCACAGTACTGTGCTTCAAACAGTGATGAGAGGCCTCCATGGGAGGGGAAGAACAGGAAGGAGGATGAGTGAGGATTTATCCTTGGTAATCAAATAGGGCATGAGGAAGAAGATCCAGGAAGGATGGTCTTACGGTTAAGGCACAGATTAGTTAGGAGACTATTGTTCTTTTTCTAGTTTTGCCACAGATTTCCTGTATAGCCTTGAGGAAGGCACATAGGCCAAAATGTTCAAAACTCATCAGTGGTTTTGGATGCCCACCTCTAGGCCTATTTTTCATAAGTACCAAGGACCCACAACAAGCCAAAGTTTGGCTTTCAAAAACTGAAGCACCTTAAATCAGTGGTCAGTATTCCTGCACCTCGGTTTCCTCATCTGAAAAAATGAGGACATTTGTGTACCTCGCAGATGTTGTCAAGCCTTAATTCGTTAATGTTCATCTAACACAGGGGTTCTCAAACTTCATTGCACCGCGACCCCTTTTGACAACAGAAATTACTACGTGACCCCAGAAGAGGGGACCAGAGCCCACCTGAGCCCCACTGCCCTGTGCCGGGGAGGCCAAAATCCGAGCCCTGCTGCCCTGGCAGGGAAGGCCAAAGCCGAAGCCAGAGCTCCATCACCCTGGATGGGGGCGGGCACAGCTTAGGCCCCAGCAAGTCTAATACCTGCCTTGGCGACTCCATTAAAATGGGGTTGCTATCCACTTTGGGGTCCTGACCCACAGTTTGAGAACCCCTGATCTAGCAGATTGGCTCCTAAAACAGAAAGTGCGATATAAGGGCAAAGAACTGTATTTCTTTTTGTCTGTGTGTGACTGTTCAAATGGGCAACAGCTGCAACGGAGGAGAAATTTAATCTTTGTTTTATTTATTTATATCATTAAAATGAGCATCTTCAACCACTGTTGTTTTTGACAACTCAAGGGGAATAGGACATGATATATTAGAGCCATTCCTTACACCTGTCATTGCTTCCTTCTCCAAATAATCCTTTTCCCCTCCCCCTTTATTTTTCAGATTAAAAATATAAATTGGTGAGCGGGGAAAGGCAAAGTCTTTTAACAGATTTAATAAATTACAGGAGGCGATTTAGGTAGGGAAGACGGCATTATGCAGTCTGGACGATAGAGTTCTTGAAATGTATTGGAGACAACTTTTTTGTTCCAGAAAGTGGAGGAAGTAACCCGGGGAACAGCCATTTTAAATTGATTCTGACCTACTGGGAGGAATTGGTAGCGAATCTGAAGGTGGAAGGCAATTTGGGTGAAAGTGATCATGAAATGATAGATTTCATGATTCTTAGGAAAAGAAGGCATGAGAGCAGCAGAATAAAGACAATGGAGTTCAAAAAAGCAGATTTTAACAAACTGCGAGAACTGATAGGTGAGGTCCTATGGGAAGAAAACTAAGGGAAAAAGAAGTTCAAATGACCTTGTAATTTCTCAGAGAGACAATATTCAAGGGACAACTGAAAACTATCCTGATGCGAAGGTGTCAGGGTTCCTTCCCCACTCTGAACTCTAGGGTACAGATGTGGGGACTCGCATGTAAGACCCCCTAAGCTTATTCTTACCAGCTTAGGTTAAAAACTTCCCCAAGGTACAAACTTTGCCTTGTCCTTGAACAGTATGCTGCCACCACCAAGCGTTTTAAACAAAGAACAGGGAAAGAGACCACTTGGAGACGTCTTTCCCCAAAATATCCGCCCATGTCCTACACCCCCTTTCCTGGGGAAGGCTTGATAAGAATCCTCACCAATTTGTACAGGTGAACACAGACCCAAACCCTTGGATCTTAAGAACAATGGAAAAATCAATCAGGTTCTTAAAAGAAGAATTTTAATTAAAGAAAAGATAAAAGAATCACCTCTGTAAAATCAGGATGGAAAATACTTCACAGGGTATTCAGATTCAAAACACAGAGGATCCCCCTCTGGGCAAAACCTTAAAGTTACAGAAAACGTGAATAAACCTCCCTCTTAACACAGGGAAAATTCACATAAAACAAAAGATAAACTAATCCACCTTGCCTGATTTACGTATATTGGTTGCAATATTGGAGACTTGGATTAGGAGGGGTTGGAGAAGATGGATTTCTGTCTGGCCTCTCTCAGTCCCAAGAGAGAACAAACACGTAAACAAAAGCCTTCCCCCTCCCCCTCCCCAAGATTTGAAAGTATCTTGTTCCCTTATTGGTCCTTTGGGTCAGGTGCCAGCCAGGTTAGCTGAGCTTCTTAACCCTTTACAGGTAACAGGATGTTGCCTCTGGCCAGGAGGGATTTTATAGCACTGTATACAGAAAGGTGGTTATTTTTCCCTTTATATTTATGACAGAAGGAAAGATAGGAAGAATGGTAAGAGGCCAATATGGCTCCACCAGGAGCTCTTTAATGACCTGAAAATCAAAACGGAATCCTACAAAAAGTGGAAACATGAACCAATTGCTAAGGAGGAGTACAAAAGAATAGCACTCATGTGTAGCAACAAAATCAGAAAGACTAAGGCGCAAAATGATTTACACCTAGCAAGGGACAGAAAAGGCAATAAGATTCTATAAATACATTGGGAGCAAGAGAAAGACAAAAGCAAGTGTAGATCCTCCACTTAGTGTGGAAGGAGAGCCACTAACTGATGACATCAAGAAAGCTGAAATGTTTAAGGCCTTAATTTTCCTTCAGACTCCAGTAGAAAGGTTAATGGTGACCAGATACTACATACAATTAATACTAACAAGGGATAAGGAACGCAAGCCAAAATAGGGGAAGAACAGGTATCAAGGTTCCTTCCCCACTCTGAACTCTAGGGTACAGATGTGGGGACCTGCATGAAAACCCCCCTATGCTTATTTTTACCAGCTTAGGTTAAACCTTCCCCAAGGTACAAATTATTTTACCTTTTGCCCTTGGACTTTCGCTGCCACCACCAAACGTCTAACACCTGTTACTGGGAACGAGTCCATTTGGAAATGTCTTTCCCCCCCCAAAATTCTCCCAAATCTTACACCCCCTTTCCTGGGGAAGGTTTGATAAAAATCCTCACCAATTTGCATAGGTGAACACAGACCCAAACCCTTGGATCTTAAGAACAATGAAAAAGCATTCAGTTTCTTAAAAGAAGAATTTTAATAGAAGAAAAAGTAAAAGAATCACCTCTGTAAAATCAGGATGGTAAATACCTTACAGGGTAATTAGATTTAAAACATAGAGAATCCCTCTAGGCAAAACCTTAAGTTACAAAAAGACACAAAAACAGGAATATCCATTCCATTCAGCACAGCTTATTTTCTCAGCCATTTAAAGAAATCAGAATCTAACGCATATCTAGCTAGATTACTTACTAAGTTCTAAGACTCCATTCCTGTTCTGTCCCCGGCAAAAGCATCACACAGACAGAGAGAGAGAGAGAGGCTTTGTTTCTCCCTCCCCCCAGTGGGGAATTGTGTAGAGTAGGTTGACTTACTGCAGTAGTGTAGACATAGCCTTAGTGCCCTACTACACCGACATAATATCTCTACCTCCATGAGAGGCATAGGGCTTATGTTAGTATAGTTATGGCTACGCAATGTCTCTGTAGACACTGTGTTACTTACATCAGCTGTTGGCTCCAAATTGACAAGAAAGCCTGGGGCGGCAGTGGGCTCCAGCTAGAGCCTGGCTGCCCCCCGTCCCAGATCCCTGCTCAGGGAGCTGAGAAGCAGCCCCTTGCTCCTGGCGGAGAGCAGGGAGGTGAGAAGCCCGGGTGGCTACCTCTTGTTCCTGGCGGGGAGGCGTGAAGCCCAGGGGAGCAGGTGGGCTCCTAGCGGGGAGCTGTGCAGAGCTGAGAGCTCTGGCTCTCAGCCCCCCATGCTGCCCCTCTTCAGTCGGTGAGGACACACATCCCCGATCAAAGGTGGGTAGTGTGGACATCAGCCATCGCACGTTGTAAATTGACCTAACATAGGTCGACTTCAGTTTAGACATCCCCTAAAACACTCTGACTGAAAAAGTGAATACATACACACAATGTAAAGAGAGACACCCCATTTATTTATTTCAAAATGTTTGTGTATTCAACCCCAAACATCATTTATCTTTAGTCACCTATTCTGGTGTCTTGTTTTAAAGATGCTGTGACAGAGTTAAGCAAAGAATTTAGAGAAGGAGGGGAACCAATCACCGATGACAGCATCAACTTGCAAAAGTTTTCCTACAAGCTTGAGTACCTTTTACAGGTAAGTGACACAGTCATATGTCGGGCCTCACCAAATTCATCATCCATTTTGGTTAAAGTCATGGTCATAGGATTTAAAAAATCATAAATTTCATTATTTCAGATATTTAAATCTAAAATTTCCTGGTGTGGTAACTGTAGGGGTCCTGACCCAAAAGGGGTTGTGGGGGTCATTAGATTATTGTAGGGGGTTGTGGTGTTGCCACCCTTACTTCTCCACTACTGCTGGTGGTGGCGCTGCCTTCAGAGCTGGCTGGCTGGAGAGCGTCAGCTGCTGTCCGGGAGCCCAGCTCTGAAGACAGAGCCACCGTCAACAGTAGCACAGAAGTAAGGATGGCATGGGATGGTATTGCCACCCTTACTTCTGCGCTGCTGCGGGCGAGGCGCTGCCTTCAGAGCCAGGTGCCCGGCTAACAGCCACCGCTCTCTGGCCACCCAGCTCTAAAGGCAGCGCAGAAGTAATGGTGTCAATACTGCAACCTCCCTATAATAACCTTGCACCCCCGTCACCCCCTACCCCGTGGTCCCCTTTTGGGTCGGGATCTCCAGTTTGAGAAATGCTGGTCTCCCCTGTGAAATCTGTATAGTACAGGGTAAAAAGTACACAAAAGACCAGATTTTCCGGTCTGTGACGTGTTTTTCATGGCCACAAATTTAATAGAGCCCTAATAATATGGGAGAACTGGACTTTCCTTCATCTGTATTGTTCTCTTACCTTTAAGGTTCAGTAATGAATCTAGTTATTAATTAAAAAATCAGAATGTATTCTAACTAAGTACAGTACAGACCTCTTTCCTTTTAGTTGTTGGGTTCCCGTGCATCAATACTTATTGCACCTATTACAATAGAAAGTAAATATGCTTATGTGCAAAAGCAATGTATCATAACTAGTAGGTTGCTTTTGAGAACACAAGGAATTTTGCATTGTATGGGGAGCTTTTATAACTTGACTTTGAAACATGCCATTTTACATTATCACAGAAGCTCTTTGGTAATAAGAAAAATGACATATTTTAAGGGAAAAAATAATTATTTCATAAATATAATTACCTGTATAATATATAGGTTTTTGCAAGCAAAAACATAACTTTGCTATGAAAAATAGTTTTATAACATCGAAAATATAATACAAAGAGTAGGGTTTTTTCAGTTGAAATGTCTGTTTTTTTAATCCTTGATCAAAAACCAAGTAAAAAGGAAAAGTTACTTTGCTGTGAATATCTTCAGTCTGGTTAGAGAGACAAGGTGGGTGAGGTAATATTCCTTATTGGACCAATTTCTGTTGGAGAGAGGGACATGCTGAAGAGCTCTGTGTGGCTTGAAAGCTTGTCTCTCTCACCAACAGAAGTTGGTCCAATAAAAGAGATTACCTCACCCACCTTGTCTCTCTAATATCCTGGGCTCGACACAGCTACCACTATACTCCAGTCTACTTAGTCATTTTATGAGTCATTGGCTCACAGTTCTCCACTCCATGAGATCTGGATTCATTTCATGATTCTGTAAATGGCTCACTCTGTCTTCGGAAAAGTCACTGAACCAGTCTGTTCCTCAATTGGCCTGTAAAATGGGGATAATACTGCGTATCCACTTTTTGTTAAGCATTTTGTGATCTATGTAGGCTAACAGTTGAGTTCATTGTAAGCTGTATGGATTTATGTACCTATTTTTCAGTACCTTATCTTCAATGTATTGACCTACATTTGTGCACTGTATTAATATTGGAAATGCTGTAAATCCCAGTGATCAGTTTATGAGTTCTGAATAGATTTGAATGGCTATTCTTTAATTTAGCTGATTATTTAAATTAGGGCTGTCAATTGCAGTTAACTCAAGCGATTAACTCAAAACAAATTAACTCGATTAAAAAAATTAATTGCGATTAATTGCAGTTTTAATCGCACTGTTAAACAATAATAGAATCATAGAATATCAGGGTTGGAAGGGACCTCAGGAGGTCATCTAGTCCAAAGAATACCAATAGAAATTTATTATACTTATTTTTTGATGTTTTTCTACATTTTCAAATATATTGATTTCAATTATGGCACAGAATACAAAGTGTATAGTGCTAACTTTATATTATTATTTTTATTGCAAATATTTGCACTGTAAAAAAGAAACAAGAAATAGTATTTTTCAATTCACTTCATACAAGTACTGTATGCAATCTCCTTATCATGAAAGTGCGACTTACAAATGTAGATTTTTTTTGTTACATAACTGCACTCAAAAACAAAACAATGAAAACCTTTAGAGCCTACAAGTCCACTCAGTCCTACTTCTTCTTCAGCCAATTGCTAAGACAAAAAAGTTTGTAGACATTTACAGGAGGTACTGCTGCCTGCTTCTTATTTACAATCTCACCTGAAAGTGAGAACAGGCATTCACATGGCATTTTTATAGCCAGCATTGCAAGGTATTTATGTGCCAGATATGCTAAACATTCATTTGCCCCTCCATGCTTTGAGCACTGTTCTAGAGAACGGTACACTTTGTATTCTGTGTTGTAATTTAAATCAGTATATTTGAAAATGTAGAGAATATCCAAAAATATTTAAATAAATGGTATTCTATTATTGTTTAACAGTGGGATTATAACTGCAATTAATCAGTTATTTTTGTATCTCGTGATTAATTTTTTAGTGGTTTGACAGCCCTAATTTGAATTTGTCTTTTGGACTGTAGAGCAGCATTTAAATTCATCAAATTGTATTGATCTAGAATGATGTCTATTCCCTTTTTTTGATGTGCACACACATCTCCTGTTAATTAAAATTAATAGCTGTGAATGTGAATATCAGTGGGAGAGAAACATAGAATAACTCTGTGTTTCAGTGTCTTAAATTTTTCTAAGTGTTTCTTCCTTTTGAAGTTTGACCAGAGAGAAAAGACCACACTGCTGGGGAACAGAAAAGACTACTGGGATTACTTCTGCGACTGTCTGGCTAAAGTCAAAGGAGCTAATGATGGGATCCGCTTTGTTAAGTCTATTTCAGAGGTAAGTAAAGCAGACTGATTAATCATCACAATAGGCAGTTCATGTTTCTGCATGTCTATTGGGAGAGCTACAGAACTCAAAAGAAAAGTAGGAGAAGGAATGGGACTTTTTTTCTGTCTTTGCAGAATGTAAAACCAAAAGATAAGTGACGCCTATTGTTCATCACATTTCTTAGGGCTAGATTGCACAATCCTTATGCATGCTGGTGTACTCTTCCTTGCAGGTGTAGTCCCATTGACCTCAGTTGAGTCCTGAATTATTTTAAATTACATTGAGCAGGAATGGTGACCCTAGCCTTTGTTTGCCAGAAGCTGGGAATGAGCAACAGGGGATGGATCATGTGATGATTACCTGTTCTGTTCATTCCCTCTGGGGCACCTGGCACTGGCCACTGTTGGAAGACAGGATACTGGGCTAGATGGACCTTTGATTTGACCCAGTAGGGCCATTCTTATGTTCCTATGTGTTTTCAGTTACACTAAAAAAAAGAAAAAAGAAAACATTTGATGAATGGTGGGCAAGATCTTTGTTTAGGGTTAATGCCTACGATTTAACAATGGGGATACAGCAGAAATGAAATCAAGGGGGCAGTTCCTGCCCTCATGTGCACAGGTTCCCTGAGGGAAGGATTTGATCGAATGCAAGAGGAAAAAGTAGTAAAGTTTTACCATTCTTGTCACCTTCCTGTAGATCAATAGGGTTGAATGGGAGTCACTGATTAGAGAATTTGGTCTTATGTCTCTACTCACTTAATTCTTGCACGGTGCATTGGAGATATAAAATACCATGTGACTGTTGAGGATTAAGATTATTGTTATCGCTTGAGGTGAGTTGACATGAAAGGACTCAAAGAGAAATGGTTTGTATTGGGCTAAGCAAAGTACATGTTAGTAAGTAACACAGTAATAAAACCTAAATCCAATATCAACAGAGTAGCAAACCTTTATCTCTAAATCTATTAGTCAATGAGGTAAGCACTGCAAGAAGTTTTTAATATTGATCCTTTGAGTCATTAGAGTAAATTTAAATCACTTGCATAAGGACTTTCCCCGTGGGTAAGTGGAGCGCTGTTGTTGGTTATGCTGACTGTTGTCCTGATACCTGGTTTTGATGACTCCTAGGGTATTTTATTCCCAGGCTGCACTTGTTGATAAAGAAGTTTTCATCTATTCTGTCAGAACTTCCTAACAGCAGCCTTGACTGCTGTCATCATGCAACTTCTCTGCATGATCAGAGAGCCAGCCATGAGGCTAGCATGGCTGCCCCTAGCGTAGCTAGCCCCTATGTTCCCCATCCCACTTCTTTCTCCTCATACCCTTCCTTCAGGCTTCCATTTGGTTTCAGGGGAACCCCCTCTCCCCACCCAGCTTTCTCTCATAGCTTTGGGGTATGAAACATTTCCCCAACCCCTCTTTCAGCTCCAAATCCATCTTCTTCCCGTTGGTTCTTTCAATGAAAATTCCAGTGCATTTATATTGTACAGCTAGATAAACGCCAGATCCGCTGCATCTTGTTTGGCTGTACATGGTTGGAGGGGCAGAGACACCAGAAACCTTCCACCTCCATTTGTACAGCCAGGCAAGAGCTTCCCCCAATGAGCTCATCTGATGTATTACTTTTTCCATTCCTATGGTACTTGTACTTGAATTTTGGTTTGACAGCAGAAACATAACTAGTTATAAATTCTGTCTCCTCTCTATCCACCAGATACCAAAATCTTCCTTGTCTGCCTTAAGATTTCTGTCTTTTTTTAAAAACTATGTAAGAGGTTGTGATGATCCCCTCTGGTGTTATCTGGACCAGTGATCTGCTAGGTCACTCCAATCCTTGACTCTGGGAGCCAGCCTTACCCTGCTCTGCTGTGAGAACCCCCACTCCTGGGCTGTTCACGCACAGCCTCTGGCATATAAGGTGCTCCCAGCTACTTGCAACCGAATGGCACTAGCTAATATCTCCAGTCCCAGACAAAACCCTAGGAACCTCTGTCTTGCTGTGTCCAGTTATGCCCGCTGGACACTGCAAGCTTATATGAGTTCGTCAGTTTAACAAAGAAATTTATATGTGCCAGGCTTGTTATCCCAAGAGGAGTCTCTGACACACTGCAAACCAAATGCACTTCTTCAGGTAGAATAAACAAACAGATTTATTAACTATAAAGGTAGATTTTAAGTGATTATAAGTCAAAGCATAACAAGTCAAATTTGGTGAAATGAAATAAAAGCAAAATGCATTCTAAGCTGATCTTAACACTTTCAGTGTCCTTACAAACTTAGATGCTTCTCACCGCAGGCTGGTTGATTGCTCTTCAGCCAGGCTCTCCCCTTTGATCAGCGCTTCAGTCACTTGGTGGTGGTGTCTGTAGATGTAGGTGGAAGAGAGAGAGCATGGCTAATGTCTCTCCCTTTTATCATGTCCTTCTACCCTCTTGGCTTTGCCCCCCTCCCTCCCCTTCAGAGTCAGATGAGCATTACCTTATCGCAATTCCAAACTGACCAAAGGAAGTGGGGTGACTCCCTCAAGAGTCCAACAGATTCTTTTGTTGCTGCCTAGGCCAAAGTCCTTTGTTCCTGTGAGGCTGGGCTGGGTTTGTCCCATACCTGCCCTGATGAGGTGTGAACTGCCTCTCTGCTCTTGGAGAGTTTTTGCCTGGACTTATTTTAAACCATGAGGATACATTTTCAGCCTCATAACTATATACATGAAATTATAACCTATAACCTTACTATAACATTACTGTAACAATTACTATAACATCACTATAACAATGATGCTCAGTGCATCATGAGCCTTCCGAAGACACCCAACATGATAAACTTCGCATTGGATGCCACACAATCATTTTATAAAGATGAACATGAGGGTGTATGGTGTTCCCACGAGATACAGAGCATTACAGACGTCCTTAAGTTTCAGCTTTCAAAAATATGTTTTATGTTCTTTAATTTCATAATAAACACAGCTTCATGTAGTTGTTATGGTTTGACTGTGACAGAAATTTCCTGTTTCACTTTCTATGGAGCCACAGAAATTTGTAGGTGGAATGATTGTTTAAAATAATTTTGTTTATTTGCGGTTTATGATTTAAAAAAAACCCAGTCAGCTATTTCAGGTAATACGTTTGTCAGATTGTGTTCTTGAAATGAAACTGCAGAAGTCAGAGGAGCGAACTCTGCTATTAAGATATTTAGGGAGGGTGTCTCTCAGGGTCACCGCTAATATTGTTTCCTGGAGCCCAATTGCTATACATGTTTTCGGCATATGTTCATAGAAACCTTAATAGCTTGCTTGTCAGTGTGCCATTTATAGATGTTTATAATTGGTGCTTAAAGTTATCTTCCTGTGGCTTGTTTTTCCCAGCTGAGAACATCTCTTGGTAAAGGAAGAGCATTTATACGTTACTCCTTAGTACACCAAAGGCTGGCAGACACCTTGCAACAATGTTTTATGCATACCAAAGTAACAAGGTAAATGCAAAGGTACTGTAGTGATGCATGAGAGATATCTGGAGACGAACAATCAGTGAAACATGGGACTGATTCAGCGCCGCATGAAATAAATGGAAAACCTTCCATGTGGTTGGCTCAGAGGACTGATAATAGGGTATAAAGCCAGTGTAATCTAGGTCACTGTTTCACACCCATCTTAGGTCAGTAAATATTGACATTTGTTCAGTGGCCTATATGAAATGTGTTACTGGTCCAAGACCAGTTCCTCCTAGACCAGAGTCAATATTGCAAACTGCCATTACAACTGGTCCTAGTCTGCACCTTTGTTAGTACTCTCAGTAGAGGGGTCAAGGAGCAAATGGGCATTGAAACTAAACTATCCTTTCATCTTTTATAAGAGCAAGGCAAAATAGCAGGGTAGTGTGGGGAAGCTTGCTTTGTTGCTGTCCCTTCTTATAATTTCAGAAGGTAGAGTATTGTAGCCTTCAGGGCTGTAAATATGGCACCTTTATAAAAGGCAGAAAGTCATTGAAATTTAAAACACAACCACCTGCACTAGGATTTGTTTTTCTGTCCAAGTTTTCTGCTTTTCCATACTTGTTGGCCAGAGCAAAGTAATGATAAACATTAGAGTTTAGCATCTATAATTGGGGGACCCTACAAAGGCATTTTTGAACCTCTAGTTCATTATAAAGCAGAGTGCTTTGTGCCTGGAACATTTAAAAACTATATGGTGTTTTGTGCATGGTACTTACACACCTTACATTTTTTTAATCTTTACAAGTGCTGGACATCTGAGTTCAGATGTAGCTAAAATCATATGTGGAAATGAATTTGGAGGTAGTGGACAGAGCCCCAAATGATAATTCTGTACATCACTAAGTATCACACAGTGAGGTACAATGTAACATGTTGTAGTCTTTCTGGTCAAGAAAAACCAAAGACTGGAATAGCAAGAGTTTAGCAAGTCAGGATGGATATTCGTAGAGCTTTCACGGACAAGCTTTCAGTTTTTATCTTCCTTTTCAATGTATCTAATTCTGATTGCTGCTACCAATCACTTGTTGTCATGAACATTCAATTTACTCACATTCAAAACACAAATGTCAGTTTGCAGAGTACCATGTGATTATCCATTATATGGCAAATCCATCACCCTCTCCAGTTGCCTGCCAAAGCCCAGAGTAAAAATGTTTTATGCAGGGTTTCTCCATAGGAGGAATCCATAAGCTTCATTAGCTCCTACTGCCACCAGGAGCTGCCCTCACTCCCAACAAAGAGGTTGTGTGGGGGGCAGGGAATCTGATTGATGTCGATTGCATTTGCAGTGGATCTTGGTAACTTTTCTGGGAAGTAACAAATAATGTTTCATTTTCTTGAGAATGTTGCAGGCGCTCCCCTTTTATTTATTACTCCGTGCCATTTGGTTCTTCTTTTAGTGACTGGTACTATGCAAGAAGTCCATTTCTGAAGTCTAAAATGAGTTCTGACATTGTGGGTCAACTCTATGAGTTAACTGAGGTTCAGTTTGACTTGGCATCAAGAGGGCATGACTTAGATGCTGCTTGGCCAACATTTGCCAGGTAATGTAGTAAAACTTTACTGTTTTCGATACAGTTAGAGCCATAAACATTCATTCTGTGACTTGCAGGGGTGAAAGTAAGTTAAAGGACTTACCGGTACGCCGGAGTCCTGAGCAGGGGGCGTGGCCTCAACCAGAAGAGGCAGGGCCTTAAATCCCTGGGCCCTTTAAATCACCCCCTAACTACCAGCTGCAGAGGCGGCTGGGAGCCCCAGGGCTCGGGGGGCAATTTAAAGGGCCCAGGGCTCTAGCTGCCGCTACCGCAGAGGAACCCAGGGCCCTTTAAATCACTGAGAAGCCCTGGGGGCTCCCGGCTGCCACCGCTACCCCGAGGCTCTGGGCTCTGGCAGAGCTTTAAAGGGCCTGGAGCTCCGCTGTGGTAGCGGCTGCTGGAGCCCCAAGCCCTTTAAATCCCCGCCTGAGCCCTGCTGCCCGAGCCCTGGGGTAGCAGCGGCCAGGCTCTGTCGGGGATTTAAAGGGCCCCAGGGCTCCAGCCGCTGCTACCGCCCCAGCCCCCTTTAAATCCCCTCCGGAGCCCCGCCATTGCTACCCCAGGGCTTTAAATTGCCATCTGGGAAAGCCGGTCCCGGTACGGCGCATCGGCTCTTGCTGGTACACCGTACCGGGGCATACCAGCTTACTTTCACCTCTGGTGACTTGCAAAAACTTTTGCAACTTTTCTATTTAAGCGTAAAAAGAAGGCATAAGCCTTCACCTTGTAACATCTCTGCAGCCAACCTGGACTTCATGGTCATTACTAGGCTGAACTCCAGGGGCCAATCTGATGCTCATTCAAGTCTGAGAGTCCTTCCACTGACTTCAGTGGGCATCAGCTCAGACCCCCCAGGGTCTGCTCACATCTTCACAGTGACGATGAGAAGTTAACTTGGGTCCCTCTTCTCCAAAAGCTGTGTCATACCCGCTGAACTAAGCATGAATCTCTTTCATTTGAGCAGTAAGAGAACTCATGACGCATACCTGTTTCAGCAGGCCTGCTTCTGCTTGAAAGAAGGTAATCCTGCATGTAGGGGTTGATCCAGTTCCACTGAGGTGTGTAGGAGTCTTCCCATTGATTTCAATGAATGTTGGATCAGGCCCCATGCATGCTAGCCAGTAGTACATTGCCATATCCAGTGATTATAACTAAAAGAATCCATAAAGTCAGAGCAGACAATTATGTGTGTGCGCACGCTTAGCCATTATTAAAAGATTTCTTTTTTGTTTTTTCTTGCGGTCTACAGGAGGACATTGTCCTCACATGGCTCTTCAGCATATTTGTGGAAACCTCCAAGTCGCAGTTCAAGCATAAGTAGTTTAGTGAGCAACTATTTGCAGGTAATTGAATGACAAAGAAGTGCATGCAATGTAGGCCACATTTCCTTAACACCAAAGATCTTTAGGCCTGGGAGCTGTATAACATCTTGTGACTTTAGTGGGAAACTACAAAAAACCAACAATAAATATAAAGGAGAATTGTCCCATAGCTGTGTGATGGGATGGACAGACCACACACTGATGAGGAAGGTGCCAGAGAGGCCCTGTGTACCCACCCCTCTGTTCCTGTCAGTCAAGGGTGGTAGGAAGGAAGCCTTTAGAAAGGAGGAAACTGCAGGCCGCTGGCAGGAGAGATCCCTCTGAGCAGGAAATTGCTGGAGCGACTCCTGACACCACAAGGGGAGCTTCTATCCAGGAGATCTCCACCCACGACCCTGTGGGGAGTGCACTGAACTTCCAGTATAGGCCTGACAGAGTGAGCCTGATTCAATAGGCCAGGCAGCGGGTCTCCACGAAAACTGCTACACAGACAGCACTGAAGCAAGTTTGCCTTTTTCCCTTTCAGTTGGATCAAGGAAGAAGTTATTCTTGGGGTGCTGATACATTTAATTTAATTTTCCTTTTATGTCCTCCATCAGAAGAGATTTAAAAAGGCCTGCAAAGGGTGGGGTCCCCTCTTTGCTAGGAAACTGGGGCCTGTGTTTAAGCCACTGAGTGTGCCCAGGGTCTCCCATCATCTGGGAGAAAAACCTAAGAGGACTCTTTTTACAATTTGATTAAACCTAATGTTTAAGTCTTCTTTTAAAAAACAAACCAACAAAAAAAAAACCACCAAAGCTTACAAAATCTCATGAATAGAAAGGTTTTCATTATTATCAATGAAAATAGCCTTCTTTCTTTTAAGTTTCCCTTCACAGTTTTGTGCTTCCAACCACAACAGCACTGTGCTAGCATCTGGGAACCAGAAAGTGAAATTATCCAAGACCCCCAACACAGCAAAGCACTTTAACTATATATTAAAGTCAATGGGATGTAAGCATGTGCTTAAATGCATTGCTGAGAAAACCACAATACAAACTGGTGTAACATCACTGGCTAAGGTGCATAACATACAAAGAGTAAATAAATAATTAATAGAACTTTATTTTTGTTCTAAGACTTCAGATGCTGGAGTGTTGAGTCCTATAGAAATGCTTATAAATTAATAAAAGTAATTAATAATCAAGGGGACTAAGAGTAGCATGGATTAGGATTTTTTTAATAATGATTTTTATTTGACAGCATCCCTTAAATATTCATTTTATTGTTACCACCACCACCACCACCACCAGGTATTAATAAAAAAAAACAGTTAAGCTATCACTGAGTCCTGGAACATTCATAATCTTTCATGTATAAAAATACACTGTTTCCAATTTAACTTTTCTATTCTTCCCTTCCTGCCCTCTTAGACACAAGAGTTTCCAGGTAGCCCTGATGCAAATAACTCACTAAATGCTGAACACCTGGAGGGCTTTGAAGAGATGCGTGTGGAACTTGACCAGGGAGAGCTGAGACAGAGGGTGCTGCAGGACCGGATTAATCAGCTAGAGAAGGAAAACCAGGAGCTGCAGGGAGCCGTCAGCCTTCAGAAAGAACAAGTGCAAGTGGAAAAGGAAAAGAGCAGCAACTTCAGCGAGGAGAACTCCAGACTGACAAAGATGATAGCGGAGTTACAGAAACAGTGTGAGGTTTCCCACTCCACTCAGAGCACTGTTCATGACCTACAAAAATGCGTGCAGGCATTAGAAGTGAATGCAGCCGAGCAGCAAAAGGAATACCACACAAGGCTTGAGCAAATGGAGTCAAGTAAGAAGGACTATGCCTCAGAACTGCAGCTCTTGAATCAGGAGCTGGAAACCACCAGGGCTTCGGTCAGCATGAAGGATCTCTGCATCAGTGAGCTCCAGACCAAGATAAATTCAACAGAGCAGAAGAATCTAGAGCTCATTGCAAAAGTCGATGCCATCTTGGATGAAAAAGGACAACAAACCTCCACCCAGTATGAGTCTACCCTAAAGATCCAAGAATTGCTGGAGAAACTTCACCAGGCAGAAAAGGAAAAGGCTGACATCCAGAAACTAAATAACGAACTTCTGTCTCAGGTAAAGACAGCGAGAGAGGAACTGCAGCTGAAAGAGAGTGCACAGAAAGAACTGGAATCCAAATTTAGTTGCCTCACCACGGACTCCAAAAAAGAGAATGAAAAACTGCTCATGAGCCTGGAAATGATGGCAAAAGAAATGGATACAGTTCAGGATGCACTGACTGTGAAAGGAAAGGAGGTGGCTGAACTCCAGATCCAGCTGAAGGGCTCACTGGCTCATGTGGGATCGCTAGAAAAAAATCTTGAAGAGACCAGAAGAGCAAAAGAGAACCTTCAGGAAGAGAGCAGCTGCAGGGAAGGTGTGCTGAAGCAGGAAGCCAGAACCTTGGCAGAGCAACTTGAGCTGCTGAAGGATCATTTATCAAAGCTGAGTCAGAATGTGCACAGCCTAGAGGAGCAAAACCAAAAGCTCCTCTCAAGCAATGGTCATCTCCTCCAGAAGGTAAAGGACATGGAGGAGCTCGCAGGACAGCAAAGCGTGGCACTGAACGAAATTGGTGAAGAAAGCAAGAAACTGAAATCCGAGAATGCAAATCTGCACCAAACCAAGGAGAAGATGAAAGAGAAGCAGAAAAACTTGGAGGTATCTAAAGCCTCTTTGGAAGCTGAGATGGCCAGGCTGAGGGCATCGGAGAAACAGCTCCAGAGTCAGATTGACGATGCCATGGTGTCGGTGGATGAAAAAGAGAAAAAGCTCCGGGAGCAGAACAAACAGTTGCACGAAGACTTGCAGAATGTCACAAGGGAAAATCAAATCCTGGAAGAGAGACTACAGTCTCTGTATTCTGAATACCAGGAACTGAGGCAAAGAGAAGATGCCATCAAGGAGTCTTTAGCTGTATTACAAACAGAGCACAAGAGTGCCAAACAGCATGGTTTACAGATGGAAAAGATTCTGTTTTCCTTGAAGGAGTGTGAAGAGTCTCTTAGGTCACAGGTTACAGAGAAAGATGTGACACTGCAAGGCATAGAGAGCCAATGCAAGCAGCTACAGGCAGAGATTGAGATGTACCGAAAAAAAGCGGAGTCTCTTGAGGTGGAAAAGCTAAGTATGGAAAAAACATGCCTTCATCAAATAAAATTGATTGAATCCCTTACTGGAGAGAAGGATTCAGTGGAGAAGGCCCAGCTGGAGCAGGCAGCATGTCAGGAGAAAGAGTCACAAGAGTTGGCTTCCAGGCTAGCCGTGTCTGAAAAGCAGCTGCACATCAACCAGAGTGAAGTGTCCAGGTTGCAGGCAGAAGTGATTGACCTTCGAGCCAAGCTTCAGCAGACAGCTGATGAGAGAGAGAGGATGCAAGGTAAGCTGGATGCAACAGAGGCGGTTCTGGGGGAACAAAAGACACTGGTCCAGCAGCTGAAAGAGCAGAGTGAGTCACTCAACAGAAACCATGTGCAAGAGCTGGTACAGTGTAAAGAAAGAGAGGAAACGCTGAAAAAAGAGCGGGAAAGGGAAGCCCATCGAAAGGCCGAGCTGGAGAAAAACGTGCTGAGTCTCAGGGAAGAGCTGTCCAAGGTTAAGCAGTATTTGGAGACTGTTAAAATGGAAAATGTAGAAACCAATGACCTGCTCCACAGAACCAACACTGATATGGCTGAACTTGGTATTCAGATTTGTACCTTGACGTCTGAGAAGGGGGATGCAGAAGAGAAGCTGGCGCAGGTCACTGAGAAGCTGAGGGAATTGGGTGAGCAAGCAGCAAAGGAGCAGGAGGGGCTGCAACTTGACATCTCCATGCTCAGGCAGGAGAACCAAGGCCTGACAGAGAAACTAAAGGAGTCTCAAGTATGTGCTGCAGCTGTTCCCAGCCTGCAAACGCAGCTGGAGGTGGCAGAGAAACAGGCCCAAAGCTTCCAAGAGACCAGCAAAGAAGAGCTGTCTGCAATAAAATTTCAAATGAGCACAGAGATTATAAATTATCAGACAAAATTCAAGGTAAATTAATATAATCTACTTTCTATTCTACATGCTTCACAGTGTTCACTGACATGGTAAGGAGGAATCATTCCCTCCTCTGCAGGAATAGCGGGGTGAAATGGCCTGTGTTATGCAGGTCGGATAATCGCAACACTACTTTCTGGCTTTAATCTATGCACCTATGAATTTAGGGGGGCTTAGTCCCCAACACCCACTGAGCCTTGCTCTGAAATGTGCTAAGCAATCTTGACTCCCCTTGATGTCTAACAATGAACCAGTTATATCCTCTTTACACTGGGTCAGCAGAACAAGGCTATGGATGTGTGAACTTCTTTTCTCCGCAGAATGGTGGGTTTTCAGACCCAATGGCTGCTCGACTTTCATGAATATTATTCATCAAATAAATATGAATATTTCAGCTTATGATTTGCCATTATTTAAAAGTACCTGTAATACAATGGGCCCAATACTTTAAGGTGCTGCATACCTCCTGCATACGGCTGAGTGCCCTCAGTTCCCATCGATTCCCTGATAACAGTAACACCCGTACTGGTGCTCTCCTAAAATCCAGTTACAACCCAACATCCGCCCACTCGTGGAACCTAAATAAGATGCTCACAGTAGATTGTGCAGCTCTGATCACATGAACCCTTCCTTCTCTATCCTTGTATGAATGATCAGCAGTGAAATAGTTAATATTTGTAACATTTACATTGTCATTAGGCTTTAGTGTCAACTTCTGTTGATATGAATAAGGGCAACTCACCCCTCTGTTAGAGGCACTGTTTCAGGCAGTCTGCAGACTCTGACATATAGCGCAGCACAGGTTACACTGAGTTCACACCTGGAAGTTTATCTGTTTGAACATACGGGCTAGAGGCCGATGGTGGGATGCTCAGAAGTCTGAGTGTGGGTCTGGCTCCGCTCCTTTTGCAATCAATGTTGATTTCAGTGAGAGCAAAGTTAGAAATCCCAGCCTGAGTGGTATTTTTACTGTTCAAGATACAGCCACCGAGATAAATATCTAGTTTCAAGAAGCAGTCACGAGCCACCCCGATTCAACTGTGGATCATGTGGAGAGAAATTTCTGAAGGATAAAGAACTGATAAAGATCTGAGTTACTACAGAAAATTCTTTCCTGGGTATCTGGCTGCTGACTCTTGCCCATATGCTCAGGGTTCAGCTGATCACCATATTTGGGGTCGGGAAGGAATTTTCCTCCCGGGCAGATTAGAAGAGGCCCTGGGGATTTTTCACCTTCCTCTGTAGCGTGGGGCACGGGTCACTTGCTGGAGGATTCTCTGCTCCTTGAAGTCTTTAAACCACGATTTGAGGACTTCAATAGCTCAGACATAGGTGAGAGTATTTTTGCAGGAGTGGGTGGGTGAGATTCTGTGGCCTGCATTGTGCAGGAGGTCAGACTAGATTATCATAATGGTCCCTTCTGACCTTAGTGTCTATGAATCTATGAACTGTGTGTCTGTTACTGCAGCTGTGAGGCAAAGGCTACCAGTTGATCAGACGTACACACTTCCGTATATGCTGAGATTCTTCTAACGTCGAAAAGTTGTGTGCCCTTACTTTCTACTTTCTTTGCCCGCAGAGCATCTAGTCAATGAGTTTTAAAGTAGTGTCAGGCACTAATTCCCAGCATGACTTGTGCTCCCTTTGTACTTTCACCACAACATTTACATGTTTAGCAAGTTGGGCCATTTTTGTTATGGCACATAATAATTGCCAGAAAAACATCATCTGACTACCACAGTGGGGGACTTTTCCCATGAATTAGGCCCCAGTTTCCTGGGATACCCATTTGAATTGGTCTGCCATCAGCCACACTGAAGGCCAAATTTATCCCTGTTGTAACTCCATTATAATTAATGGATTAATTTGGCCCAGTACATTTTCATTGTCCATGCTGCATCAGCAGGAAACTTTTTAAAACTGGGTGATGACTTTTATGTGAACACTAACAAGGGCTTTATTGACTCCACTAGGCTGTCAGTGAAGAATGCGAGAAAGTAAAAAAGAAGCTTGAGGAACAGAAACGACAACTGTGTGCTGCAGAGGAAGAGATTGCAGAGCTTCACGTAGGTGCTTCATCTGATTACAATAAGGAAATGTGCTAAAGTATTTGCACCAATAGTCACTTGTGTTAGAATTTACAAGGCAGGGGACTTGTCTGGCAGCTGTCTGGGAGCCTGAGAATGCACTTGAACAAATAATAGACATGCAGGCCAAAATTCTCAAACTAGGAGGAGATTTTCAAGGCACAAATAGCAGTTAAACACCAAGGTTCTTACCCCCTGAACCAGCCGACTTTTACTTAGGTGCCTAAATACAGATATAGAGGTGTACCCAAGTCTGAAAATGGTACCTCTAAAGTTTACATTTAAAGGGTGCTTTTTCACTTCCTTTCATATTTAACTTTGTTTTAATGAAGCCATAAACTTGACATTTTCCCCCTCATGATAAGTTAGTTTCTTTTAAACTTTTTGTTTGCCTATTGAAGCACTTATTTCAGACTGAAATAGTTTTAAATACTGATGTGGTTTATTCTTTCATCATTGTGTTTGGAACTTTATTCTTTGATAATGAGACGAAAGCCATTTAAAGCTCTTCTGCTGTGGCTAATAAGAATTACTGGCATGGTTTAATGCTGTCTTACTTTACAATTGATCCCTTATTCAATGTGACATAAGTAATCAATCCCCAGTACATAACTAATTAGTGTCTGATTATTCAATAATAATGTTTTAATTAATGGTTGGACTTCTTAAACTCCCCTATCAAAGCATTGTTTGGGTGACATAGTAACTAAGTTACAGTTGATACAGTGATGGTTTTGTATGTTAAATAGAAATATTTTATTATTGTCTAGGCTGTAAACACGGATCTGTCTAACAAACTGGAGCGTGCAACAGAGCAATTGACTGAATATGAATCCACCAGGTTAAAAAAGGAGGAGGAGGTGATGTCGCTGAAAAAACACTTGGAGAGGTTAGCACTTTGGGTATTTCACTTGTACTGTTTGTAAGAAGCCAAGCAGAAGATAAGTCACCATAGTGTGTACACCGTATTATTGTGTACATTATCTGAGGCAGAGGAGAGAATACATACATACTGAGTAGGAAGCTTTGACTGGCCTTTCAGATGAAAAATGTGGACGTTACACAGAATACAGCTTCCCTTTGTTCACGTAGCTGATGTTCTATAGTCATCACATTTCTTGTTTCCTTTGTGAAACTAGTCTACGTGGCGCTAGGCTTTGTATCATGGGTTAGATGCAGCATTCAAAGCACAGAAATGTTGACTGCTGTTTAAAAGAGGACTGGAACATTTGCACTGCATTTTACATGGAGAGTGTGTTTTATTTTTGCCCCTCTGTGGTGTCTCAAGAGTAAAGTAAGAATTGCTGTTGAAGGGAACACACTCGGCAGCTCTTGCTCAGGCAGGTCTCCTATGGAGCTCAGTGGGCATTTTGCCTGAGTAAGGACTTGGTGACAAATACTAGCACTAAATGATTTTGCAGCACAGAGCTGGCAGGACCAAGCTAGCCTGGCCTGACTCCAGGGCTGCGGATCTCTGCTTGGATCAAGAATGAGGGGAATCCTTTCAGGGATGGCTGCATAACAACTACATGGCCACCAAACTCTGCCCCGTGCCTTGAGGCAGGAGTCTGTGACTCTGTCTCATTGGGTTCTGTGACTGCAGCTCTGGGAGGGCAGGTCCCCCTGGTTATCAATCAGCTAAATGAGTCCAGAGGATAGTCAGTTACGCAATGGAACTGTCAGCTGGAGAGAGCGCAGTGTCCATCAGGGCAGGTCTCTCCATGGAAACTACAGGTAGGAAACTACTGAACTGCCCAGGATGCTTCACACCCCAACAAAAGTACAGATATTGGGCCATATGCTCAGCTGGTATCAATCAGTGTTGCAATAGAAACAGCAAGTCTCAGAGCCGGGATCTGCAGACTTGGGCCTCGCTTTACGGCACTAGAAATAGCCATGTAGATGTTTGGGGTTGGATTGGAGCTTGAGCTCTGAAGCCTGGGGAGCAGGGTGGGTTTCAGAGCCCAAGCTCCAGCCCAAGCCAAAATGTCTACATGGCTATTTTGAGCGCTGTAGTATGAGCCCCACAAGCCAGAGTCTGTAGACCTGGGCTCTGAGACATGCTGCCGTGGGTTTCTGCTTGCTCTGTAGATGTGCCCTCAGAGACCTCATTTACATGGAGAATCTGCCCCTCAGCAACTTTATGAGCTCTGGTCATGGAGCAGATCTGACTGGGCCTGACCTTGCACAGAAGTGTTACCTGGAAGTAAGGAGCTAATGCTTATTTTGCTCCCATGTAAAAGAGAGTTGGGATATGGGCCTGAATGAGGACTTCAGAATCAGGGCCCTTAATTCCTTTTTCAGATTTCTGTTTGTATCCCCTCTAGTTTCTTACAACTAAGTGTGCACCAGTTTATTTTTTGTGTTTAGCTTTAGCCCAAAGACTATGCCCTTTTAGCGGGGGGGGATGTCCTTGGTGATCCACTTTGTCAACACTGCAGGCCAGGTGCTCATCTGGTGTCAACTGAAGTAGCTCCATGTGTAAATCAGTGTCCACTGATTTCAAAACTGTGTCTGATCCGGTGAGTTCATCCTTTGTGCCAACTGGAAATCTATTGATTAAGTTAAGTAGACTGTAGACTGTGAAGTTTACCATTGAGACTCTGAGTAATTCTCTAGTTTTAAGTTGCTCTATTAACTGAAATTAATACACCAGAAATCAGATCAAACCTCTAAGTCTTTCACTCTGTCCATTTGAAATCTGAGGGAAATTTGTCTGGATGAGACTAAGGTGAAGTCATATTAGCAGAGCTTGTCAATATTTCTTGTACTCAGTGGTAAAAGGGTTTTTAGCTCCTTTGTAAATGTTTTTTGTTTTGTGGTACTGCAAATTAATATAATACTTTGTAGACCTTTTGTGAACATGTAAACCACTGATATGTTTGTGCTGTGGATTGTCCTCTGTGGCCAGTCTGCAGGGGATATGGGCCTTTACAGACCTACCCAGAGAGTCTTGGCTTAAGCTGTAGCGTTCATGCTACCTGGTTCAATCCCTGGTGTGCAGCCAAGAGGGCAGCCATCACAAACACAACTATGAAAAGGGAGCAGGAAATAGGACCCTTATCCCCAGAAGTTACTGATTGCCAAAGGTGCCCACAGGTAATGTATCTATGCACAGCTTCAAAAGTGTCAAAAGACTAAAGCACGTTGTTATATACAATATTATGTTCACACTGAGAGAGACTTCACTAAAACTACAGATTTCATCAAGATAAATGGCAGAAGGGACTTCTTTAAGAACAATTAATTTGCATTTAAACAGGACCCAAAAGGAAGTTGACAAAGCGAATGAGCAAGTCAAAGAGTATGGTGACAAACTCAAAAAGGCGACAGCAGACAGAGACAGCAATGATCAGAAGTTGTTGGCCGAGCTAGACGATCTAACTAGAACAAAGCAATTCCTTGAAGAGCGTTTGATAGAACTTCTCAGGTTGGTATTAAAAAAAACTAATGTGTAGGTTCTATTATAGAGGATTTTAAATGGTGCTGTGTGGAGGGATTAATTTTTTATTCCTGAACAGAAAATAAATGTAATGGCCAAATTCTGTGAGACAACATTGGCAGTGAGGTTCAGTGGTTAGGGCACATTATGAAAAGTAAAATAGACAAAATGTGATCTAGCTCTTTCTCCGCTTGTATCTGCTTTGCAAAGTGCATGTCATTCTATATATGGCATATGTTCTTCCCCCTCCCCTGCCAAAAATGTTTCAATATTTTTTCCTAGCAAATATTTATCTCCAGTATCCATCACTTATAGAGAGCACCTTGAAGGCTGCCCTGGATAAGGGGCTGGGCTGGGACCAAAGTGTTATTCAGAGAACGATGCTGACCGGTGCATTGTGGGGAAATGGAGGGTGAAAAATATGTGTAAGGCTCCACCCATTGCTCACCCATGCCCCATTCACTCTCATGGCTGCTGGAGTAATGTCTCAGCAGCAACTGCTGTCCCACCTACATTCTCATCCATAATGTGGGTGTCCCACGCAGGGAAGCAAGGAGTCATCTCCCCCCACCCCTTAATTTCCTGTCCTGGCCCATAGTCTGGCCCACGATTGAGCCCAGTGTGATCAGCCTCTGAATAGCAAACTCAACAGGCAAACGCTCAGCTGGTTTAAATTGGTGCAGATTCATTGCAGTTAATGAGTGCTGACAGGTGTCACAATGGGAGCTGCTGGATGCATCCCTTTTGGAAATCTAGCCCTTATTTAACTACTAAAGGAAAGCTTAGCAGCTTTGAAAATCTGGCCCCAAGTGATTTGCCCAAGGTCACACATGTGGTCTGGTGCAGAGCTGTAAACTGAACCCAACTCTCCTGAGTCCCAGTCCTGTGTCTTAACTACGGACAGGGGCGGCTCTACCAATTTTGCCGCCCTAAGCAGTTGCCGCCAAATTTGCCGCCGCACCCGGAAGAGCGGCTGAGCTGCCGCTGCATTGCCACCACTGGACACGGACTGCCGCCCCATTCGGAATGCCGCCCCAAGCACCTGTTTGGAAAGCTGGTGCCTGGAGCTGGCCCTGACAACGGGACGTCCTTCCTCTTGAAGGAAGACTCCTGTAGGCTGTCAATGTCTATCATAACTATTCTGGAGTGAACAAGACCAACACAGACTGTGACTTATGTTAAAAAAATGAAGGGTTTTGTCTTTCAGCAAGCCGAGTGTTGCAGACATAACTTGCAGACGTGCAGTTCGGTTAATGGTGTTGAATTATGTTGCCATTACAAAACACAAACAATTTGATAAATAGCAACCAATTGTGGTTTCTCACTTCTGGTCTGTGTATTCTTGTCTTCACGCAAAAGCTTGTGCGTGCTGCAGAAACCTCTCCATCTTTACTAGGTGAAGAGTGAAAACCCAGTGCAGCTTTAGACATTAACTGTTCATCAGATGATCCTTCTACAAAGAAGTTCCTTTAACTGTGTCATTCCTTTCCTGAGCCACTCTATCTATCTGAATCTGGTTAAGGAGTAGGAGCTAATACTGGAGTTCTTGCCTCCTTTTAATCAGAGAAACCTATAACAGATATTTCTCTTCAAAATATTGTCAAAACTTTCAAAAGTTGATCAGCTCATAGTACACAGCCAGGGCATGAGCACATTCTTCTGATCAGTATGCATAGAAGCTTTTGGTATTGTTCAGTCAGACAAGAGAATGTGGGTTTTCTTATTAATGTCTGTTTTCTTGGCCTTTCCAAGGAGTTATGATCTCAGTAGACATCTATTTTTAAAGTGCAAGAAGACAAACCTGTGAAGTCACTGAAAAAAATGAAGTCCTTTCTTTATTACCTTTCCTACATCTCATGGTGTTGGTGACTAACAATACAGTAGGGTCAAGATAGGTAGCATTCCTTTCTGACTTCTTGATTCTTTCCAGAGGTCAGATTCACAAGTGATGCATAAATGAAGACTCCCTTATGCTAATTTAGAATCCCTTCGATCTTGTTACAGTTATTTACAGGTGTGTAAGAGAGTTTAACTTGGTGTAACTTATATGCTGAGGAGCCGGAAGAAGATGTAATCGAGAGCAAAGTTTGGCTCACATACTTAGCCCTTGATATCACTTAACATTTTCAAAGAGTGTCTAACCATTAACTAATCAATCCTCATACATCCTGTGAGGTACTTAAATATTGCCATATTTATTTTACAGATTGGTAAACTGAGAAACAGAGATTAAATCACATGACCAAGACCTCAGAGCAAGTTAGTGCCAGAGCTGAGACTATAACTTCTAACTCCTAGTCCTTCCCTTTGTCAAATATACAGTGCAACCTCTCTTGTAACTCGGGTGTAAGATTCTGCTCCTATGCCTAGCTGCAAAAAGTTGAGCTACAATGTCAGGTAGTGATGGTGTCGTGAGATGGTTAGCTCTGTGTTGTTAGCCTTTGTGGTTTAAGGTCTCACTTGACAGTTTACCTCAAGTGCTGCAAACCTGTTTTTGCTGTTGATGCACTTCCACTTCAGAAAGCCTAAATTCCACCCTCTTGTACCCTGACCTTTGAAGGTGTACTAGTGCAAGAGGGAGTCTCCACCACATCCTTTCAAAGGATGACAGAACACTTTCAGTAACATGCACCCCACCCCACCCCCCGCAACCTGATCCCCAGGTGGAATTCTGGGTGGGTCAGCTGTAATGCAGCTCTCCTCACTCTCCTGCAGAGCAAACCATGACTTACAGCTACAATCTGATCCAAATGTGCTCCTGGGATGTCTTTGATAGAACTCGCTGCAGTAAGAAGAATATTGTGCCTTCAACTGAATCCTTTTAGGCATTGCTCATTGGTTCCAACTTCAAATTAAGTGCACACTTAAGTGCTTTCCTAACTAGGGATGCTTTCCTGAACTGGGGCCATAGTACTGATCCAGTATGGCAATTCTTTGATTCTGAGGTACTATCTACAAAGGCCAATCACACCTGATGGTGGTGTATATACATTTGTCAATCCCGGTGTAACTGAGTTAAAAGTGCAGGGAGTGGGCTATTTCAGATTTGTGTACTTCAGAGTTAAATAACAGCACTTTACGTTAGAGAGTTTTCTTCCGGGGGCAGAGTTGAGATGAGTTAAAAACAAACAGTGATGTTTCTAAAATTGATTGCTCTTCTTTACACATGTCTCCATAGGGATAAGGATGCCCTCTGGCAGAAATCAGATGCTCTGGAATTTCAGCAGAAGCTCTGTGAGGAGCAAAGATGGCTCGGTGACACAGAAGTAAATCATTGCCTGGGCTGTCAGCGAGAGTTTACTTGGATGATGCGCCGACACCACTGCAGGTCAGTTTCTTGACCTCTGACACGTTATTAAAAACATGGAAATAAATATCATAGGTACCATGGAAAATATCCAGTGTTTTAACATTTTACACTGTTCCCAGGCATTCGTTGTTATAATATGTATATTATACGCTGTCTGCACTTGGTATACATGCTTTAAAAATTGTCCAGTACGATGATACTATTATTATTTTATTACAGTACTGACGCAATCAGGGTTGATGCCCCATTGAATTAGGTTCTGTACACACATAACATTTACTACTAAAAGATATGTTGAGAAACAATTATTCTGAATAGCAAGATTTGATTTTGATATGGCCTGTTCAAAAACATCTGACAGTTGATTGAATTATTTGCTTCTAATTTTGACCCTTTTCTGTTCATGAATTAATAGTTACATGTTCGTGATTTCTCCAGATATATTCACAAAGTTTGGATGAACAAATTTCAGGCAGTAGGGTGGCGTGTGACTGTTCATGCTTTATTCATGATGTGCAATTAGTCATATAATCAATGAAATTTTAAAGTAGGGAATACCGGGTGGTGATTAGTTAATAGCTAATAACTCACTTCCAGTATGATTTTTCAGATGAAGAATGATTTCAACTAATATTTGTGAAACTTGCAAACATTTTCACCAATACCCTGTGGTTGTCTGAATACTTATGAAAAGCAGCAAGTATTAAAACCCAATGAATGGCAGCAAACTGAACTGGGGTCTTTTTCATCAACAAACTGTTAACAAATCAATTAAAAGACTATTTGACTGATTCCAATAATGACCAAATATCCTTGTGTAGCTCTCTTTCTGACTGCACAGAAGCCAATATTTTATATTGCTACTGCTTCCCTTTTCTGGAGGCTGTGCAGCTTATGTGGGGAAGGATTTAGGTTAGGGATGGTTTGAGTGAATATCAATACGTGGCCTGTTTTTACTCCCTACTGAAGTCAATGGCAAAACACCCATTGATTTTAATGGAACAAGATCAGGCCCATCGAAAATCACTAAATATGTGTTCTGTACTTCTTGTTGTCATGTTTGTAAATTGTATTTTTAATTGTTTTTACCATCTGGAAACTTCTGTTTCTGTGTAATTTATTTTTATTGAAACTGTAAAAGAAAAATGTGCCTCTCTGAACATTCACGATCCAATAAGTCTTTCTGAACCTTAAAAGGCAGAATTGTCTGCATTGTGATTTTTGCCTTGTAACCAACAAAAAAGTTCATGCTTTCCCAGGGGACATGACCTTTATGACCAGAACCCCAAGCACCATCAATGCACACCTTACCTAATTCTATTTTTAAGCCATCGGTGTAACATTCTCATACCTTTGCATTTGTTCTTTTTAATTTCTAGACTGTGTGGTCGAATTTTCTGCTATTACTGCTGTAACAACTACTTGATGACCAAACACAGTGGCAAGAAGGAGCGGTGCTGTAGAGCTTGCTTCAATAAACCTAGGGTGACTGTGGATTATACGGATGACTCTGGATCCCGTGCCAGCCAAGAAGAACCAGCAGCTCTGCTAAATTCACCAGTGTCTCCGACCCTGGAAGTTACAGGTTAGTCCTTTTCATGTGCAAATGTGAGATAAATGAGATTATTGGGCTTCTTGCCAGGGTTCATGTGGTTAAATCCTGCTCGATTTACACTCTATGCAACCCCAGTGATGTTAATGGGGTGTAAGTCAAGGCGGAACTTGTCCCAGAGTAATTGTGGAGCTTGTTAGTATATGTTAATATTGATAGGTTGATACAAATACCCATTTATATTTTAATGCAAGTGAGTCACCCTGGAGAGTCCCTCTAGCACAGTGGTTCTCAAACTTTTGTGCTGGTGACCCCTTTCACATAGCAAGCCTCTGAGTGCGACCCCCCTAATAAATTAAAAACACTTTTTAATATATTTAACCCCATTATAAATGCTGGAGACAAAGCGGGGTTTGGGGTGGAGGCTGACTGCTCGCAACCCCCCATGTAATAACCTCACAACCCCCTGGGGGGTCCCGACCCCCAGTTTGAGAACCCCTGCTCTAGCACTTGCTGTATGCGAAAACTACTGTGTAGGCAGAATAATGGCCTACGTACATAAGCTCTGTTTAAAAAACAAAACCACTGTTGCTGCCTGTTATGTTATGACTGCGTTTCTTTTGATGTACTTTTATGGCACAGTTACGAATGAAACCTCCAAACCACCAGATGATGTAGTGTTTGATATAATCACAGATGAGGAACTGTGCCAAGTGCAGGAATCTGATTCTATCCATAATGAAAGTCAAGCTGAAGTAGAGTCTCTGGACCAGAGTGACACAGATCTGTGAGTAAAACACTGTTTAATTTAAAACTGGAGCTCCGTGTTACATTTTTCCTCTCCATAAAGAGAAAACAGACACTGTCAGGGCTTGTCTACACTGGCAAGTTTTGTCGCCAAAAACTGCCTTTTGGCGACAAAACAGCAAGAGCATACACGCTACTACAATGGGACTTTGTCACAAAAAACGCCCAGTTTTGGCGACAGAAAACTTCCACCCCGTTAGAGACTTTTGTCTTTTCCCCCACTTCTATTGTCGACAAAGAGCCAGTGTAGACACCGCTGATTGTTTTGTAGACATAACTGGCTTCTGCCAGTATCCCACAATGCCTGCCCTGATTGCTCTGCTCAGTGTTGTGATCTCTGCTGCCCTGCAGGCATGCGCCCCTCCCCTTTCAAAGCTCCGGGAAGTATCTGTGTGCTGCTCCGTTTGGGGAACAAACAAACCAAGAGCAAATCATTGGCATGCTCCTGTTCTGCCCTGCACTAGGAACACAGCAGCAGGCAGACTGCTACTGCAGCGGGAGGGGAACAGACTGCTGTGCTGCCTTGCCATTCCTCAACATGGAGAGCTCACAGGGCTACTCATGATGCTGCTCTCGGCAGCTGAGGGGGCTGTGGGAGAACTTGGAGAGAATCGCAAGATGCTCAGCGATCAGCTCTTCCTTCTCACAACACTGCACTATGGGATACATACCCACGGTGCATTGCTCACCCTGTCAATGATGGTGTCCCCAATGTGGACGTGATTTGTCGACAGAGGGAGCAAGTGTGAACACGCTTTGGTGATTTTTGTTTTGCCGACTTTTGGGTGTCAACATCCGTTTTCTCAACAAAACTTGGTAGTGTAGACAAGCCCCCAGTCATATTGAACTTCATTTTAGATTAAGAAAACAATACAGGGGAAAACCCAAAGCAAAGTCCAGTGTTTCTCTTATGACAAGCTTTATTGAACTGAACATAAAGTGGCTGCCTGTCTCTGCAGACAGCAGAGTCTGTAGAATTATAAAGATTCAATACCCAGAAAACAAAGGAACAACAGTTATATAGCTAAATCCACCACACCTTTTTTCATAGTATAGATTTCAGTCACTTGTTCCATCTACTCCCGCATAAATCAGCAGTAGGGAGGAATTGATAGATTCTCTGTTTTAATTTGCAAACTTAATGTTGCATTAATATATTTTATGCCTATTTCTGTATTAATTAAAAGTTTCATTTTGCATTGTGTTTCAATCATTTGAATATTAAGAACAATATCCAAAGTAAAATATATTTTACCCCCAAAATAAATGTATACAATGATACAGGCTGTCTGTTCACTAATATTTCTTCCTGACAAAATTTTGAAGTCTAATTTTTATTTTTATATCTTTCAAAAGAAAAACAAAAGTAAGTTACTGTAACCCTTTACCCACATGTTGTTCCTTAGTACCAAGGAAGAAAAATTGTAGTGACAAATGTTCTCAATGCCAGGTTAAAAGCAGCCCCAAAGTAACAAGTCTGTGGTTCAAAAAACAGAGCTAGATTGTTTTGCCCCCCATTGTGTGACTAGTTCCTGTATAAACCACACTTCCTTGCTACTTGTGTCTAAGGTAGACTATAGATGCTTACTTATCTGGAACAAAATATGTTTCAATTCTGGCTTTTGCTTCTCAGCTAATATACTATGTTATTTTGCTAATATACTATGCTATTTAATTACCTACCATCATAGCATCTATGTGCCTGCAATGTCTCAAAGGACCCTGAAGCATTTACAGATATGCATGAATTAAGCCTTGCAACTCACCTGTGCATTGGCATTGGCATCATTTTACAGATGGGAAAAGTGAGGTGATGCAAGTTTTCCCAAAGTCATATGATGACCTTCATCATGATTCAGCAAAATGGGATTGTAAGGCATCTTGAATTAGGAACCCAGGAGCTGTCACTCCTGTTGGCCAAGGGAGGTGAACGATGCAAAATGTGAGCCCTTGGGAACACAACATTGAGAGAGAGCATGTGAGCTGTGAGGTTAGGACAGGGCTCTCTGGTCATCTTGCTGTCAGTCTCTTGCTGAGGAAGCCACCAAAACTGTAAGACCATTATTGAAGGCATCTGGATGTATCATTAGAATTCTGCATTACCCTGTAGCAGTGTTGTTGTTCTATCCCCATTGTTCACAGTCTATAGAGAAGAAAACTGAAAAATAGTCTTCTATTTTATCGCTTTCCATGGGCTAGTCAGAACCATTTCATATGCATTGCCCTTGATTCTTTAGTATCATGATCTTAAAGGGCCTTTGGGCTCAGGACTATTTCAGTCTCTCCTCTCTCTGTTTACTCTAGCCCCTTCCCTCTGCTTAGTCACCCCTTATGAGGTCAACAGACAAGGATGGTAGATCTCACCTCCTACGTATAACTGGGATAGAGAGGGAGACAGAGATCTCCCCTTTGTCCCCTTTCTTCATGTGGATATTGAGAGAGAGCCTGGCTGATGGGCCTTCTTCCGGTGTAAACCAGCAGAAAACATGCGGAACTTCAACCTGCTTTTAGCACAGATCAGCACACTGAGGTATTTATAGGCCACATGGTCCCATGCGAAATTTGAGGTTCTCCTACAAACTGGAGGTCCTTCTTGGCTGTGGGTTCTGTAGGTACCCAGGACTAGCTCTAATTATATATATAAGATCTGCTGATCAGCCCTACCTATGTATTGCCTGCAGTGACGGGTACTCAATGTTAGTCAGACATAATGCATTTTGCCACCTGTGGGTCATATGTGAATTTTTTAATTATTCTGTGGTTTTATGCTCGGGAAAAAATATTAGACCATGAACAGGCAGCACTGCCTTTTACAGCCCTAGAGATTTCAGAGCTACCTCTGTGGTGAGTGAGATGCGTGCAGAAATGTAGGTGTCACAGTCAGGCTTTTGCAGCACAGCTCAGCAAACATAAACCCACAGAGCAAATAAATACGGGGTTTTTGAGGCAGGAGAGGCCAAATCTTTAGCTGGTGTAAATCTGTACCACTTCATTGACTTTAGTAGAGCTGTGTTGATTTATACCAGCTGGGAATCTGGCCCAAGCTGTTTATCAGCAGACTATCAGATAGGAAAGAGCAGAAATAATATACCAAAGATTTTCATTTTTAACCACGAACAAATTTTATATCACTGGGGTAACCATAAAAAAGAACAGTGACAAGAAGGTCAAACATTAGTGACATTTCAAAATGGATTGAAACTGTAGGTAGTGAAATACTGTCCCATACAGTGTCTTGGAAAGGTACATATATTTCAAACACTGTCTCATTATGCTGAGATTCTGTTGCAATCCCCTAAAATAATTAGTTCTGATATCATCTATATATTATTTTATCATTATTTAAAAACTCTATTCCTCAAATGCATAAAGGTGAACAATCCCCATTATTTTTTATTTATTATTTGTTTAACAGCAACATTTGTTATTTGTTTCACACTGTGTTGTACAGTACAAAGAATAAAGACAGTTCTTGCTCAGCACAGTTTATAATCTTAGGCCCTGCCCCAACTGCATTCAGGGGGACTACTCACATGTATAAAGTTAAGTATTCATGTAGGGGTGTGTCTGCGCTAGAATATTTTAGCTTGAGTTAATTGCCAGTTAACGAAGGTAGCTTCTAAAAGCAGGTGTGGATACTCCTCAAATATTTGATCCAGAACTGAGCTCAGCCTAAAGTGGACCACAAAATCTTATGTCCTGGTACAAGCATTTCTTTGTGGATGGTCCTCACTGGCCTTTACCAATGTGTTAGCTCCCTAGACTTTATTGGCAATCAATTATCTTGAGGTTAAAAACCCTAGTGCAGGCAAACCCTAAGTGTTTGCAGGGTCCTAAAAGATGAACACACTATTTGACCCACAGAAAACAAAGGCCAAATTCATCCCTAGTGAAACTCCATTGAAATCAATGGAGTTAGCACCAATCCATCTCAGGGCTGGATTCACTTCTAAGGTATTTAGTTTAAAATAGAAAGACAAATAAGCCTGATTCTCCATTTCATTACACAGTGTTACACCGGTGTAACTTCACTTTCCTCTGGGGAATCATAGTGATATAAAACCAGTGTAACAGTGGAAAATCAGATCCTCAATATTTTACTGGCCTGATGGGTTATATGCCTCTTCTGTAGTGCTGTGTGGGACCTAATGGAGTTGGGCAGCGTTGCAAGTAGCTTTAGAAATGAATTTTCACACTGGAAATACCAAAGCATATAGATGAGAAATAATTTGCTCAACCGGTAACTTTATGTATTTCCTTTGCTATTATGCAAGATGTCTGTACTTGAGTGACAGCTTTCTCCTGTACAATGAATGGATAACTGAAAATCTGCCTTGTCATGTGAAAGATAGCTATTCAGGTCTCAATCCTAACTGCAGACAGACCCTTGCAAAGTCAGGGGAGTTCTGCAGAGGGCAGGGGTCCACTCACATGCATCTAGTTGCAGGATCAGGCCCTTAGATTGTAATCATTCTTGGGCAGGGCCTGTCTTTTAATGATCTGTATGCATAGTGCCTAGAGCAGTGGGCCTTGATCTCTGAATGGGGTCTTTAGGTGCCACTGCAAAACAAATACGTTATTATCATGATGATGATGATGAATTACGTGGTAAGTATCACTAGAATTCATCCTGCAGCAAAGGAAATCCCCACAAGGACAGGCAGAATGTTAAGGCTCCAGGACTGTGTTTTTATTTGTCTTTATGTTTGGGTTTTTGGTCCAATAGTCACATCCAAATACATACGATATTGGGCCAGAATCATGCCCTTGGTTTCTGCTGGAAACAATCCACACCATCCGTCACCTCTGCTCTGCCAGTGACCTGGAACTAGCCAGTGCAGAAGGCGGGGGGAGGGGGAGCTGACCCAGCCAAAGGCTGAACCAGGCTGGCTGTGAGAGATGCTGATTCAGCATTTTTCATAGGCAGCCTCTGCCAACAACACTGTGTACAAATCAGGCTAGATTTTAAAGCTGCCTTACTCCAGCAGAGCACCCTAGGGAGGGGGGAGGTGGTGATACTGCCACAGCCTTACTCTAGGTGTGAATCTTTCCCCTCCTACCTCCCCCACCCCGGTGTAACTGTCCTGCTCGGTGCTGGACATGCAAGCTGTGCCCAGAGAGGCGAATCTAACCTGTTGCCTCTTGCAGCAGTATAGAGCAAGAAATGTGGCTGACTTGTTTTCGTCTGCCCCTCTTTATTTTCTCTGCCTGTCTGCCTTCTATCTATTTGTTTTCCACTCTCCCTCATAGTCACATTGATCCTGCCTCTGCAGCTCTCTCCTTAAAATGATTGTCAGTGTCATTTCATAATACTGAGAGTCCTCCTTTCTCACTGTGCCTGTTGATTCTGGTCACGTTCAGCACCTAATACGAATGGTGCTTGGTAATGATTTCCAGAACTTTTTCAAAGGATAAACCACCTGTTGTGCCATCACAACCTGATGCAAACAGGATTCAACTCTTAGTTGTAATTAGGAATGAGGACCACTCTCTTGGTGTCTCATTCTGCTCTCATTGTGAATCTGGAGTAGTAACTCCATTGAAATCTTAAGTGAGAAATCATCATAAGTTTAATATTCTGTCTGCACCTAGCCAGCTGAGGTTTTGTTCATTTGTGTTTTCTTTTCATTTATTTGTTTTTCTTTGTTTTCTTTTCTAACTTTTTAAATTTTTGATATGTGGCAATTTGTAGAGTGTGTCTACAGTGAAGGCTGGGCTGGAGTTCAGCAGTATATCTGAGTCAACTGGGTACACATCTTGTGTTAATTTTGATTAACCCTTTACTATATGGTAGGTATCATGTATATGGGATAGGTAGAGTACTGCAGTGATAGGATCAGGTAGGGTTAGGTGATGTAGTGGTTAAAAACGTTTTGTCATCATCTCATGTCATTGGTAGCATCTGGGAAACTACACCACTGCAAAAAATTGCTTATGAATTTTCATAGTGTAATCAAAGCCATGTAGGCATTTTTGTTTTTTCCCCACCAATATTACCTTCAGCAAATGTCTGTTTGTAATTCAATTTGAAAGGACGGCAGACTTCATTGCTGACAGAACTGTAGTCATGCTTTTGAAAGGCCTGATTTTGTTCTTAGTGTGAATCAGGAATTAAATCAATGTAAAGCTGGGATAAGTGGAAACAGAGTAAGGCCCTGTATCTTTAGATATTGTTTTGTCTCAGAAAACATTATAAGCTGTTAATAATAAGATAAGCTGTTGGTTGTTCTGTTTAGGGAGTGTGTAGCCAAGTAAAAGTTAGTCAGGGATTATATTTTTTAAGCACTCCAGGCATATGTTATAATTTAACAATTTGTTGTGCATCTTTATTCATGGTTTTATTTTTCTACTTTAAACATTTTCTTTTCTTTATAGAAAAGTTGTTGGTAGGGCTGAAGAAGTAAATAACAAACATCCTGTAAAAGCAGCTGAGAAACAGACTATGAAACATAGAAACCTATTTGTTTGTTGACACCTTCTTGACACTGGCATTTGTGGTTAAGACAGAGATCATTGGAAGGCCATGTCTACCCTACCATTATAACTTCTTTTTAACGAATTCATGACAATTTTTCCTCACCTGATTACAACAGCCATAACTGACTTGTGCCCACACAGCTGCTTTATTCAAAACACAACTATATATCTGCACCCACCACGCTCCCTAGCTTAGTTTGTATCACTGTTTTCTCACTGCATTCTGGGAAAATCTGAGCAGCTGTCTCACAGGGAACAGAGCACCTTAGGTACATGCACAAAGGTGGGCATCAGTAGCATAGTAGGGAAGTGCATTCTGGGATGCACAGACAGTTAGGAGGAAGGACCGGATGTTTATATGAATCGCGAGACTGTCTAGAGTTACAACAGTTAATGCTAAAAGAGTACTGGAAGGACTCATGTTTCAGGGTGTATATTAGGAGACCTTCGTGGGGACAGATTATCCCACATCTGCCTACTATAGGGTTTATTGGGCTGTCCTCTGGAACCCTGTTGCTGAGGGGTCTGATCCAGTCTGTGGAGTCCAATATTTCTATGTAGGAAGTGGGACCAGCCAAACTGGCTACACCGGCACTGTTATGGCATGATATGTACTGTTGTGTGTGACAGAATCAGGTGTTTTATGCTTTGGGTTTTTTTGTTAGAGAGACTTGATATTTGTTTGAAGACAGATTAATATTCTGCGGTGATCACAGAAATCTCACTCTGCTTTTGAAGGCAAACAGGGACTCAGAGGGAGCAAGGAAAGGGAAAACAGACAAAAACAAAAAAAGAATCACAGGAAACCACAATGGGAAGATTGAGCATTTAAACAAATTAAATTTTAATATAAAAAGTCAGGCTAAAAGTCACAACAAACTACAACTATTCACTTAGCATCTTTAAAACAAAGCTCTTAAATGTCTTTTCTGCTTACAAACATCCCTCCTGGGAGGTTAACTTGCCCAGAGGGCTGATACACTAGCTTTCTATCGCTGCAACCCTAAGTTCAAACCCAGCCTTAGATCACACATGAAAGAGTTGGATGATCTCATCCTCAAACCTTTATGTATACCTATCATAAAACTAGTGCAGAGTTTCACCCAGTTACCAGTCTTTGCTCAGGAATAACAGGAGTGCTACAATGTCAGGACTGAGATGCATTGGATGTGTTGAGAAGCTTACACGGAGCCTGCTTCTACTATATCAGTCTCATGTGGCTGTTACATAAGCCCTGTCATAATGTGAGTACATTTTTAAAAAATTAACAAAGCTGAGACCCTCTATGCAGTTTTTTATAATGGATACATGCTTGTTGCTTCTACATTGGGTGAGGCAGTACAAGTTTTTGAGCCCTCATCTTCAGTGGTTTGCCATTGCTTCACGATACCTTGGCGCTTAACACATCTGATGTTCTTGATGATTTTCTGGAAGTTCTTCCTGAACTTCACCCCAATAAAGAAATATAGAACAGGGTTGAGACAGCCATGGAGATAAGCAATTGCTTCTGTTATAACCACTGCAGAGTCGAAATTGTAGTCCAGGTTGAATTCCACATGTATATTGCGTATGAGTATCAACAAATTGTAGGGTAACTGAGTAAGAATGAACATCACTACTATAGAAAATATTATTTTTAAGGATTTGTGTTTTTGGAAACTCCTGGCATGAAGTAAAGTTTTGATAATTATTGAGTAGCAGATAATCATGGTTAGCATGGGGATAAAGAATCCAAGGGTCATTTGGAGCACTTTAAAAACCAATTCTGTGAGATCTGAAGGATACACTGCATGACAGACTGACTTATCATAGTTTGATTGTGTACTGTATTTAAATTGTGGCGTTGCAAATGCTAGTGAAATCACCCAAACTAAAATGCAGATCACTTTCCCCCAAACCATTCTTTTGGCTTGACACACGCGGGCTTTTGTGGCTTGGGCAATAGCAATAAATCTGTCAATAGTTATACAAGTGAGCGTTAACATTGAAGTGTACAGATTCAAAGTGTACAGGCCCCGTATAATTTTACACATCAAGGAGCCAAAAATCCACTCGCGAGCAGCAGAATATGCCCAGAATGGCAAGGTGGAAAGGAAAAGCAAGTCTGCTGTAGCCAAGCTCACTAAAAATACATCTGTCAACGTCTTCAGTTTCTCACAGAAAATGTATATGATAAGGACTAAAAAATTTCCTATCAGCCCGAAGGCAAAAGCAAATGCATACATACAGGGCAGAAAGATTTTGCTGGCCCTGAGAAAATGTTCATTCTCATTGTAATCGTTGCACGTAAGGTTAAGGTCTGGGTAATAACAATCTGGAAGCTCCATGTAGTCTTCTTTTTAAAGGCTACCTGTAATCACACACATCTGAAATTATTTTCTCAACAAGTAAAACAATTATTATAACATATCCAGCGGACAAGCACAAATGTTACTAAGCTGTTATCTAAAAGCAAAGAGGTCACTGATGTGGTGAAAATAAACATATATTTATTTGTCTGATAGAAACCACATTATCTTTGTGGTATGGTGTAATCTGAACACTGTTTGCTCCAGACAGAGCAGCTATTGAACCTGTACGTCCTGAAAGCAGATACAGCATTTTTAGCACAGATTTACACTGGCTGGGACTGAGAGGTTTAATATTTCAAATGCCTCAAATTTCATAGTCGTTTGGATCAGGCCTTTGGTGTAGGCCCTTCTCTAAAATTAGGGTTTGAGTCCTAATGAGTTTGATGATGACATACCTCAGCACAAGAATGTCAACCCCTGTCAGAAAGCGTCACTCAGATCCCCCTTCCTCTCCAACACTGATTGTGACAATGGACTGTACCTTCTTGAATTCAGGAAAAGAAAACCCCTCTCATCTACCATTTGAGCTTTGATGCGGGACATCTCTTCCTTATCCTGATTTTAATGTAAAGTTTTCAACCATATCCACTGTTTTCACATAAATGGCCACTTGTCCATCAAATCCCAGTCACACTTAGTCCATGCTATAGGTATCACTAGAGACCTGCAAATCCATGGATATTTGCTTTATATCCGCGAGTATCTCTATCCGCAGATGCCGATATCCGCAGATGATTTTTGCGGATGGTGGGTCAGATGTGGATACACTATTGTATCTGCACAGGGCTCTAGTTATCATTTCTTCCAGAGCTGGTTAGATTGTGAGCTCTACAAGGCAGGCGGCCTGTCTTGCTATGTGTGTGGACATGGCATGCTGTGGCCACAACCAAGACACAAATAATAATAACAAATAAACCCCAACAGATTCCCAAATAAACTCTGCTGCTATTTTTCATGGGATCATATTATTAATTTGTGAATATTCAGATGTGTGCAAATTCTGACAGCTTAAGAGGTTTTAACATGAATATTTTTTCACCCCAGAAATGCGTTATTCGCCATTTGTTTTTTCCCTGCTGAAAAGTTTTAGGCGTCCATTTAGAAAGCAGAAACAATAACATCTAGTTTTGGTGACCCATCACACACCACGAACAGTAGAACTATTTACGAAGTGAGATCCTACTCTACATGATTAAGAATAGAAGAATCTGGCCCTCACTGAGAGTAATATTCAGTGTGAATTTAGCTTTCTTCTCTGTTCATGAAACATTTGTGATTGATTTTCTGCAAATGTATTCATTATTCACCAGTGCACCTAGAAAGTTTTGACCAAACAATTTGCAGCCTATGGTGTTTGTAAACCGTTCAGGTCAATTATTCCTGCCATGCGATTGGTCACTTGACATTGTTTCTTCTTCCTGAGTGGATGACTAAAACTTTTTCAAGTCAATTGTAAAGCTATTGTCAGATGTCCCTCTTGAAACTGAAATGGCAGATTTCAATGAGAATACTCATGCAGCAAAATATTTCTAAATATAAGTTAACATAAGATTAGCAGAATTCAACCCTGAATGATTTGATCTCCTGGATTGGTTCAAAGGCATCTATTATTTAAATAATAACATACAAAGAATATGGTTAACTGGTGCTACTCATAAGCCTTGGCTGTGTGTTGAGGACTAGAAAGCAAAGTCATAAAGGCCTTCAGCCATCAGAGAAGTGTGGGGAATCCTTGTGTGACTTCTTGAAGAGTTATTGGCTTTTTATACAATGGTTTCTGTTATCCTTTCAAATTATATTTTTTTTAAACTTAATAATAATCCCCCTCATAAAAGAGTTGTTACATATCCAGATATACTGGGATAGGGGGAGGGGGACGATAATCAGCAAAATAAAATCATGGCCAACAAAACCATGGCAACATATATTGAAACAAACTGATAAGCTTTATTTTACATACTGTTCCAGGCACAGCTGATGTTCCAGTTGATGTTTCAATACCCTCTCAGGGAAGAGAGTTTTTTTTCCTGTGAGTTGAAGCAAAATAATTTATACATATTCAGTGTATAATGTGACAACATAACAATATTACAGTGCCCTAATGTAGCTAAGGAAAGTGTCTCATTTGAAAGGTATTTTTCAACTGAACTGTCTCTGCTTTTGAAGGCTCAGAAGCATTATTTTTAAGTTAAATAATATCTTCCTATATGTGCCATAAGATAGTACGTTGATCCTCTTTATAGCCCACAAATATTTAATGTCTAAAACCTCTTTTCTGCAACTAAGCTGTACTTTTTAAATTTCTGATGACTTTGTGTTTTTTGGATAGGATAGTTCAAAGGGCTCAGCACTGGCCCAGTCGTGCTACCCTCTAAGTCAGTGGGAGTTTTACTAGTGATTTCAGAGGAAGAAGAGTTACACCAAATTTTGAAACACACACACATATATGAGTGTGTGTTTCAAAATCTGGTTTTAATAATGTAATAAAAATATGAATTAGGGCATAATTTCTCATATACACTTGGCAGAACTTGGCTCAAATTATTCTTGCATCATCAATCAGATAAGAAAGGATTAACTGAGGTCATCAACGATGACCTTTAAATAATTTTTTTAAAATTTGGTGATTTTGACTTTTGTAATGTCGAAAGAAGACCCAAAAGTTGGGTTTTGTTTTTTTTCACCCTTCTGGTTCTTGTTCTCTTTTTTTAAAAAAAAGACTCTTTTCTTTCTGCTTGTTTTTACCCAGAGAGAACCCCCACTTAAGGCAACCACAAAAAAGAGCCACATGCATGAGAATATGCTGATCTGACAAAACCAAACATTCACCTTAGAGCTGAGATCAAGCATGGAAAATTTCAGGCCCAAATCACTTTTTGCGAGGAACTTATGAGCTACTGAAAAAGGGAGGTGAAAAAAAGAAACGCACTTCTTAATCTTAACTAATGTTTTTCCCACCTGCTGGTGATGTAATATGAAATTATTAAAGGTGGGTGTTTTAAAAGTTAATACTTCATCATCACTACAGAAAGGAACAATTCCTGAAATATTTCAAAATATTTCCAACCTATGCTATTGAAAAAGTGATGGAAATATATATAAACCATGAAGACTAGCTGTTATTGAAACGAAAAATACTGGGCCAGATCCTCAACTGGTATAAAGTGGCGTAGCTCCTCTGAAGTCAGCCAAGCTATCATGTTTAATACCAACTGAGGATCTGGCCCATTCAACCAACTAAAATTCAGGCAAGTCAGTAGTTCTTTCTTTTCCCATGTGGTGGCAACTTGTAAAAGGAAAAAGGATAAGTTACTTAATTATTGAAAAGAAAGTTATGATTTATTCTTGATACATTTTCACTAATATATTTGATATTTTAATCAATAGGTCTTATGTTGCATATTTTTTGAAATAGTACTTTTTACTCAAGTAAGCTGTTATCCACAATGCACATAGTCTCAAACATTGGAATTGCTACCTCTGATCAGACCATTGATCCACCTGTACCAATTTTCCAAAAAAAAGAAAGAATTGTGATCCTGGCAGTAACCATCCTGGCAAGTGTAACATCTGTTCTTGGTGAGATAATGAAAGAAATATTAAGGGGGCAGTGGGGAGTTATTGAACATCTTGAGGAAAATGGAACTGTCCAGGAGCACTGTAGGTTTATAAAAGAATGTGATTGTTTTTTGGGACAGATTTACAAAAGTACTGCATGAAGCAGATGTGATATATTTGGATTTTAAAAGACTAGAAACTTACTTAAAACTTGAATTCAAATTGGCTTGGATAAAAACAAACGATATGGATTGAAAATGATTGAAATACTGTAAACTTTAAGTAGTGATGAATGGTCATGTAGTCCTCAAGGAGCAATGGAGGTATCTGGTGCATATTAATGAACTGGAAAAGGGAGAAAAAAATGCAGGGCCAGATCACCTCACTCTCTTCTGTGCATTGAATAGACCTTCTGTGCATGGATCTCACCTCTCCTATCAAGAAAACAGGGTAAGTCATCTCCATTACCTCCACTTCTCACCACCATCTGGGACCCCGTGAAGATCCATGAATGAGGAAGTCTGATAGGTCTTTTTGATCTCTAACTTCTATTTTTCTAGTCCGCTATCCTGCCTCAGCAAAAGAAGTGGGGTGAAGGGAACAAATAATACACCTGGCCAGTTGCTCAGTTCCTCCCTAACAGGGATCTGGGAACAATAACACCATCCAGCTATTTAAATAGTTCTTACCCTGAAACAGAAAATGCTCAATGATTTTCTGGTCAGGAATACTCTGCACTCAGTTGACCCTTTGGCATATAGGGGTGTAATTTTCATCCACTGATACCAGTGATGGATTAGCTGTATCCTTAAAGTATATACCCCCTGTCGTCTGACCCCATTCCTGTGATTCCAGGGCAGGGCAGCTTTAAACTGAGGGGTGAATCACTGAATCAGCATATTTTCTGGGTGCCTTGGCCACACAGTCTGGTTGGTCATTCTCATCCACTTCCTGGGATGTGCTGATCACTACAGGTTTCCCAGCAGAGTGAGACTAAATTGTGCATCATTCAGCATGAAAAAAACCCCAACAAAACAAAAACAAAAAACCCCACCACCTGTTATGTGATAGATTTAAATACATATTTCTAGTAAACATGATTATTTGCCCCCATTATAAAGACCAAAATGACTCAACAGTGCTTTTTCTAGTACCCTGTGATTTCTGTGGCTTTAAAATCTGTGTCTCGAGCATAGTCTTTACTACCAGGGGCTTTTGAGATCTGAGCTATTAGTCTGGTCATTATGATCAGATGAAGGTGAAATTATTTTACATCCTTCTTTTGTTTCTAAGCAAGCCCTAGCTGAAAAAGATAGATTGTTTAGAAAGATGTTACTAAAAACTCCTCCATCAAACATCTGTATCCAAAATATTTGTTTAATTCAAAGTGTTGTTTAAAAAAACAACATTAGAATATATTTAAAAGGGATAACAAAGTTGAAATATTTTACACAGGTTTGAAAGAACCTACCTGTTCTGATAGAATTCCCATTTTAGAGATAGGGGATGCCTCCAGAAGTAATAGAATCTTTCAGACCAGTGGATTTTTAAGAGATGTAAGATGGTCTATATTTTGTTCTACCCTCCATATATGTTCCTCTTCCAATCTGAAGTAAGAGAAAATAGTCACTTACTGGAAGACGGTGTATGGTGGTGGAGAGTGTTGATGCTTACGTTTCAAAGGAAGTCTGAAGACGGCAGTGACTCTATATATTTATCGTTTTATCCGCCTATGATGTTTCCTGTTGATGTTCTGGGGTTTTTTGTGTTTTGGTTGTTTTTTTTTACACCAAAAATAGTAGTTTATGATACTCTTGTTGAAATTACATCTTTGTCTCTAAGTCTATCTTTCTAAGGTACATGATACGGCCTAAAGGAGACTATTCAGTACATCTAAAAAGACTTGCTGAAAATATCTGACCTCCAGACCACAAATGCAAGTTCCACTAAAGATCAGGGATTCTTACATATTGAATTTTTTTTTTTAAATCATTTGCAGGACAGTTTCTCCCATTTCTACCAGTTACCAGTTTCCACCATCTGTACATAGTTCATGGCAGTTAATCATGAGTACGCAATATTCCAAATTTCATGTGTGTTGGTTAGTTTTGATTGGACATGCAGATCGCATGGGAGTGTTCTTGTTCTTTAGTTGGAACATTGAGATACCATGTTGATGTACGCTACAACTAGTTTAAAAAATGTGTTCCTATTTTTCATCAAAATTCAGCTGGGGAAGGTGATAATTTCATCCCATGTTTTGACCATTTCTAATGGGCACTATAGATAAGGCTACAGTAGTGTTATGCAGGAAGTTGCTAATGACAGCAAGTGAGTCTTTGATCCTGAAACAGTCACAGACCTTGTTAGTCAATGGGTACGCCAAGCCCTCTTTCAGGGCCACTGGAAGGAACCCGTTAAGCCTCCTTTATGTAATAAAGACAGCTGAAAACAATGGAAGAGCTGCCCAAGGCACACAGCAGGACAGCAATAAGCCATGTGGGCTAAGGAGTTTCCCTAATTGTAAAGACAGGAACTAGAAGTTTGAGTTTGCAGTCTTCCTTTGAGAAGGCTGAGAGAAGCAGGTAGGAGAAGGACTCTGAGAGGAAGCAGATCAATGGAGCCTCTTGGGGCACATTGCTCACTGGAGTAGCACACCAGGGATTTTTGAGCAAGAAAACTGCCTGCTGCTGTTTGTTTCTGCTGTGTTCAGGACTTCGTGTACATTTTTAATAAATAAACAAAAGGTTACACCACGAGTCTACCTGACTTGCCTCACAGTTCAGTGTGAGCCATACCTTTGACCTCCCCCTCCACCCCTGGGTGCAATTTCAAGTGATAGTCCCAGCAACTGCACTTCTTTCAGGGTGGAATCCCATGATTCAACCCACTTTCAGCAGCCTCGTTGGCCTGTTATGTTTCCTTAGCAGGATTAGCTGGGTTTGGTACCTGTTTGAGACCTCCCTTCAGGAGATGAGATCAGTATGAAAATATAGTGTGACTCAGAGCAGTTTCCTCAAAACAAAGTGTTATTTATTTATCCATAGGAACATAGCAACCAGAGAAAAGGGGTTAAAACAGCAAAAGCCTACATGCGTATTGTCTTCTTCTTTGAGTAGTGTCGGTCACGGAGTCACCAGGCGATGCTCTGGAACTACTCCACACGAAGCCAGTCAGGACTCTGGGGGAGCCTCCTCTCTGTGAGCAGACTGTCTCCAGGGCAAGAAGCTTACACAGCTTTGACCTTCCTGGGTCCGACCTTGGAGCATTCGGCATCCCCTTCTCACACCGTGCGCTTCTCACAGCGAGGCCGCACAGGCGGGGTTCCTGGGGAAGCCGGTGGGCCCTGCACCCCAATTCCGCAGTCAGATGTGACTCTCAGCCAGCCAGTAAAACAGAAGGTTTATTAGACAACAGGAACACAGTCTAAAACAGAGCTTGTAGGTACCGAAACGGGACCCCTAAGTCAGGTCCATCTTGGGGCCAGGGAGGCCAGACCCCTGGTCTGGGCCTCCCTCTCTTTCCCCAGCCAGCTCCGAACTGAAACTCTCCAGCCCCTCCTCTGGCCTTTGTCTCTTTCCTGAGCCAGGAGGTCACCTGATCTCTTTGTTCTCTTCGCACCTTTGCAGAGAAGGGGCCCAGGCCATCAGTTGCCAGAAGACAGGGTGTCGGCCATTCTCTGTGAAGACACCATCACACTGGCCCTCTAGGGCTCTGCAACAATCACACACCCTTATCCCACCACCTAGATACTTAAGAAGGGCATCGGGGAAAACTGAGGCACCCACACAGTATTCAGAGAAAACATTAAGAACATTCCCACTTCGTCACAGTGTCCCTATAGGTGCTTCACTGTAAGCATTGTTACGGGTGCTGTAAGGGTGTGTGTGTCCCCACACTGTCAGCCAGAGAATTTCAATCCATCCCGCCTGCACCTGCATGGCTCCTCTCCAGCCATGAGACCAGCCAGTGCATGTGGGCATTCCCCCCTTAGTTCCTTGTCAACCACCCTAGGCTAGAGATGGAGCTAAGAGCTGGCCAATCACAGATCATTAACTCCTTTAGTTTTGTCGATTTTTGCTTCTCTTGAAACCTCTTTTCTTTTATTACTTATTTGTTTTAAGCTGGCCGAGCCCCCCCCCCCCCCGAAAAAAAAGGAAGGAGAAAAAGAAAAAATTAGAAAAGGTTTGCTTCCTGCAAACCTGGTGGGGGGACCCCACCTAGACAAGGGTATGCCTGGCTCCCCAGGCTTCAAAAACTGTCTTAGCTGCAAAGATTCCATCCCAGTAAGAGATGGACATTCACAGTATTCGCTGCCTCAGGGAGAAGCACAATCCACAAAAGTGTGATTGATGCCAGCAGCTAATACCAAAGTCCAAGAAGGACAGAGAGTTAAGGCTAAAACTCCTGCTCATGGAGTCAGCCCTGCAACCCCTGGAGTCCCAGTGAGAATTATCACTGCAACCTTCCAAGTTGAAAGCAGGTGATCCCAAAGAGATGAGCCACTCACTAAAGACCTCTAAGAAAAGTCTGTGAGTCCCTCTAGTGAGCCCAGATTGAGCTGGACACAATCTCTGGCTCTCCAGTATCTTTGGTACTGATGGTGCCAAAGCTGCCTAGAGTCAGTACCCAGTGCACGCATGCTATCAAGGCGACAAAGCCAGTCAACTGCCCAAAGACCCGATGCTCACAGGCAAGGAGTTCTGGTACACTGGGGGCGTGAGACATAGATGTTCCACCCTAGGGAAGGCTACATTGACTAGGTCGTTGGCACCAGCACTGACCTCAGTGCACCTGGCACCAATGGACCTCTCAGCACTGACAGCCATTGGCACCGGTGCTGGTACCACCTGCACCGACAGACTAGAGGTGCACATCAGACCTCTCGGTCTGTGATGCATCGGACTTGCCCCTTCTCATTACTGGGGCTCCAGTACCAAGCTCACCGGGAATAGTGGACACAATGGCATCCCCATGCCATGCACCGCCTCTCTCCTCTTCAGACTCAGTAAGCGAGAGGACTTGGGTTCTCACTGCTCGTTCCACCCACCGTACAGGTCACAATCTCACCATGGGCACCAAGCGTACCAGCCCAGCCTTCAACCTCTATGGTTTGGGCAGCCATAGTTCCAGCTACCAGCACCCTACCCACAGTGGCCATACTGGGACCCCTGGAAAACCCAGAGGCAACAAGCCTTACAGCCCTAGCGAGGTATATCGGCAGGCAAGGAGGCACCCTCCTTCACTAGCACCTTCAAAGGTGTCGGACCCTCCTGAGCTATTGGAGGAAGGAACAGAAACAGAAGCAGAAAAGGGAGATGCTCATCACCTGTCGAGGCGGTGATTGCCCCCCACCCCCGCCATCCTTGGTGGATGACTTTAAATCATTCCAGGACCTAGCCCAAAGAGTGGCTGAAGCCCAGAAAGTGCAGCTACATGAAGTAACTGAACCCCATTGTAAACTGGTGGGTATTCTCCACTTTTTCACCTCTACCAAATTGGCTCTCCCAGTTAACAAGGTGCTTCTAGACCCTGCTAGGGTCATATGGCAGACCCCTGCGTCCATCCCACCAACATGCAAACGGGTGAACTGTGTGCCAGTAAAGGGCACAGAATTTTTGTTTTCCCACTGTCTCCAAATTCCATCATCATGGATTCGGTTAATTCTAGGGGTTGCCAGTACCAACTTAAATCCATGCCCTATGACCGCAATGGGAAGTGCTTGGACCTGTTTGGCAGGAAATCCTATTCTTCAGCCACCCTTCAGTTTCAGGTAGCAAATTACCAGGCCTTGTTGGCCAAGTGTGACTATCAGAACTATGCAAAGTTAATTCCTTTATTGACCAACTCCCAGATGCTTACAAGGACCAGTTCATGGCCATTATTAATGCAGGCCGGCTGGTGGCAAAAAAATCTCTCCGATGCACACTGGATATGGCAGCACACCCAGTTTCCATGGCTGTGGTTATAGGAGGGCCTCTTGGCTCCATTTGTCCAGCTTCCCTAAGGAGGTCCAAACTATAGTAGAGGACCTCTCCTTTTGAGGGAATGAAGTTGTTCACCAAGAAGACAGACGCGCCTCTTCACACGTTAAACGATTCTTGGGTGACTCTTCGGTCCCTGGGGATATACACACCAGCCTACAAGAGGAAATATAGCCCTCAGCCACAGTTCAAGCCCCGGTCATCACAGTACACATCTCAGTACCCATTGCAGAGATCGTACGAGACGTAGAGAAATATAAATTCTCTAAGCATAAACAATCGGAGCCACAACAGTCTTCGTCTCAACTCTCAACTTTGAAGCGATAGTTTTAATGGGTTGGTTGAGGCACCGGTAGAACACTCTTCTCGTCAGCATATTCTGGAAAAGCCCACTCCTCCTTTCGGAGACTTCCTTACTCCATTCCGCAGTACCTGGAAACAGATAACCTCCAACAAGTGGGTGCTGGAAATCATCCGGAGTTGATATGCCATCCACTTCTCCTCCCTTCCACCTCCCAAACACCCTTCCCCATCCCTCTTCAGGAACCCTTCTCACGAAAGTCTACTACGTTACACTGAGGAGATGGTTCACCTCTTAAGAGCTACAGAGTCTGTGCCCATACATTTCAGGGGCAAAGGCTTTTACTCTTGTTACTTCCTGATACCAAAGAAAAAGGAGGCTGGAGACCCATACTGGACCTCAGAAAGCTCAACAGATATGTGAAAACACAGAAATTAAGGTTGGTCACCCTATCAACCATCATCCCGACTTTAGAAAAAGAAGGTTGATTCTCGGCCCTCGACCTGCAAGATGCTTTCACATCTCCATTATCCCGAGGCACAGGTGTTACCTCAGATTCACATTGGGCCAGGACCACTACCAGTAAAGAATACTCCCTTTTGGTGTCTCATTGGCCACCAGGGTATTCTCTAAAGTCCTTTTGGTAGTGGCGGCCCACTTACACTCTCAAGATATCATGATTTTTCCTTACCTGGATGATTGCCTTCTCAGGGCATGATCCTTCATGGAGACCCAACAGACACTCAAGCCACACATCACCTGTTTTTGAGTCTGAACCTACAGGTTAGTGAACAAAAGTCAACCTCAACACCGGTTCAAAGGCTAGAGTTCATTTCAGGCGAGGGCACTCCTGCCACATTACAGATTTCTCAGTCTCTAATTGTTGATAGAGACCGTACAATGCAGCCCTCAGATCTTGGCCAGTCATTGCCTTCAACTTCTGGGGCACATGGCCATGAGCACTTCGGTCATTGCTTATGGAAGGTTATGCATGAGATGCCTCCAAGCATGGTTTGGTTCAGTGTACAGACCAAACAGATAATATAAGGAAGCTCCTATCAGTGCCCTCTAGAGTCAAACAATCCTTAGACTGGTGGAAGGCCCAGTGAATGTTTGCACAGGGATCCCATTTGCTTAGTCTTCCCCA